CACCTGGGACGCCTGTGAGGCGCCAGGTTCTCACTGCACCTGGGTCATCTGAAAAGAACAGGCTCTGCACCTGGGACACCTGTGAGGAACCAGGTTTTCATTGCACCTGGGACACCTGTGAGGCGCCAAGTTCTCATTGCACCTGGGACACCTGTGAGGCCTTACCAGGAGCCAGGGGAAGGAGGGGTAGGCCTCACTGCCTTGGCTATCCCAGAGGGAGGAGTGGCTACTCAGGCCAGCTCCTGCCAGCCTGGCTCTGTCCTGGACACTGCTGAGGCAGAGTGAAGCAGGTGTGGCCTAGCATTGCCTGCATGGGTGTTAGCTGTGAGCTGAAAATGGGAAGGCTCCTTCAGAGAGCAGCCAGGGACACAGCTGGGTGCAGGGGCCAGCATGTGTGACAGGTCAGCATCAGGCTGCTGGGGGAGTTTAGGCAAATGGACAGGTGTGAAGACAGCATAGTAGAGAGGTGGCTGTGGGTGTGTCCTGAGGAGTGCCTGAAAACACTGTAATATGAGTGAGCACTGGCTGGGGTCTGGGAGGCAGCACCAGACAGGAAGGTCCGAGGTAGGGCAGCAGAGGCTCTTGCCTGGGGAGATGCTGCCCCAGGGATCATGTGGTAAGGTCTGGGGCATTGGTGATGGTCAGGACTAGGGGTGCATCTGGCACGGAGTGGGTAGAAGTCAGAGATGCTGCTTGGCACTCTACAGTGCCTAGGATGCCCCACCTCACCCCAGAGAAGGACCTAGGCCCAGGGTCCAGATTGCTGAGGGAGACCCTGCATGAATTATTTGAAAAAGTTTTAATTGGCGTCCGGCTCCCAGCAAAGTGCATAACATACTCCAGCTGGAGCAGGCAGTGTGACCAGGGGACTCTGACCCTAACCTCTCTGCTGCTCCCCACCCTGCGTGTGATTGTCATTGGGAAGCATCCTAAAACCTCAGGATGCAGCTGGGTGTGGGTAACTGGCACGCTGGGAAAGTAGGGGCAGAATCTTTGTTCTGCATGTGGCGTGTGGGCTGCAGAATCTTTGACCCTGAGCTCATGGAAGAGAACCCTGCCAGTCTATGTAGTGCCAGTGCATGGCTTCTGCTTCTCTCTCCTAGTGTGCGTGTGTGTGTGTGTGTGTGTGTGTGTGTGTGTGTGTGTGTGTGTGTGTTTTGAGATAAAGTCTTGCTATGTAGTTCAGACTGGCCTTGAATTCACTAAGTAGCCGAGGCTGGCCTCGAACCTCAGCCTCCAGAGTGCTGGAATTACAGGAGTGCTCCACTTTGCCCCAGCACTCCCAGTGGTTTTCAAGGCTGTTCTGAGCTAATCCCCTGGGTTGGTATGCTGCCCCCACCTTGCAGCTGGGGTTAGTGTGGGAGCCTGGGGTGGATGTGAGGACCGTCTCTGCTGCTGTCATTGGGCAGGCCAGTAGGGGATGCTGGGAGGTGAGAGAAGCCTGCCAGTGGCACAGGGGTCCTGAGACCAACCTCATCCTCACCAAAGAAGTGGGAACTTGGGCAGTGGGATGGGGCGGGCAGAAGGTCAGACAGGAGTGCCCGAGGTCACCCTCACTGCTCAACAGGGCCTCTCCTTCCATGTTTTGCAGGTGGGCCACCCAACTTTTGGCCCCAGTGTCTGAGCACCCGGCCTCTGCTGTGCGTGGTGCCCCTGGCTCATACCATCCCCAGCTTAGGTGTCCCTGAAGTGGCTACCACAGGAGCCAGGCTTGTTTTCCTCTGATGTAGGGGCCCTCAGCGATCACCTCTGGCCCAGAGTTGGCTTAGGCTAGTCCTGTCTGAGAATGCATCCTGCCTGTGCCCTGCAGTCTCCTCTGAGGGAGAGGCACATCCAGCCTCCTGGGTTTGTGGTCCCTTTGGCAGGGGAGGTCAGGGCCACATGAAGCCCTGGGAGACAGAAGTTAGACTGAGCCTATGCTGTGGAACCCTCTTGGGCCACTCCACGCTCTCCTGAGGAGGCAGTGTCACTGTGTCCATCCTGTTCCCCAGCCTCCCCCTTGAGGCCCTGGGTACCCGCCATACTGTGGACTCAGGCCACAGCCAGCTCTATAAATAACTTTGCCAGGCCCTGCTGGGAACTGGCACGGCCTGTGTGCTCACAGCCCAGAGTCAGTGCAGGCTGCTAGCAGAGTGGCCCCGGGCCAATCCCCTAGGGCAGTGCCACCCAGCCCCCTCCCTCCATCCTTCTCTCCAGCACCTCCCAGGCTTCCTGCCCCTCACCCACACCCAGCGCTGAGTCCCCTCCTGCCCCTGACTGTGGCCATCGCAGGTTTCAGTGTAGGGGCTGCAGGGTGAGGTGCTGGGGCAGTAATAGCCTCCCACACTCAGCTCTATGTGTCACAGTTGGACTTCCTACTAAGAAGAACCTTTATTAGCCAGGCGTAGTGGCACACACCTGTAATCTCAGCATTCAAGAGGCTGAGGCAGGAAGATCACTTTGAGTTCCAGGCCAGCCTCTGCAACATAGTTCAAGGCCAGCCTGAACTGCATAATGAGACCTTGTCTCAAAAACCAAGAAGAACCTTTATTAGTTAGGCATGGTGGCACACGCCTGTCATCCCAGCACTCAAGAGGCTGAGGCAGGAGGATCACTGCATGTTCCAAGGCCAGTCTGGGCTACATAGCAAGACCCTGTCTAAGAAAACAAACAAAGGGGCCAGGGATTTAGCTCAGTGGTTCTGCCACCTGCCCCACAAGTGCAAGGACCTGAGTTCGATCCCCACTACCAAAAAAAAAAGAAAACAAAAATAACTTTTATTGAAGTAAAATTTTTCCCATTAACACTGCATGTTCAGTGACATTCAGTACACCCACAGTCTATGGCTGCCACCATCATCTGCTTCCAGAACATTCCGTCACTCCAGAGGAAGCCCTATCCATCCCCTTCCCAGCCCTTGGCATCCACAAGTCTACTTCCTGTCCCTGCATTTGTCTATCCTAGGCATTTCCTGTCCAGGGAGCCCTGCACTGTGTTTTCTGTGTGTTTCTGGCATCTCATTGAGCATAGTGTCCTCAAGTCTGTCTGTCTGCTGTGGTGAGTGTCATAGCCTCACTTCTTTCCTGGCTGAGTGATGTTCTATGGTGAGGATGGGCCATGCTGTGTGTCTATCCACCTGTCGATGGACAGGAAGCAGTCCCACCCCAGCTACTGGGCAGCATGCAGGTGTCTGATCACCTGTACTCTTGGTTCTTGGGGACAAGTCTTGGTGGGTCGTGGAATGCTTGTGCCTGTCCCTGTGGGCGTGAGGGCTCCTGCTGGTCAGGCCTGTTTGGGAAAGTGAGGAGTCTGGATTGGGTCGCTAGCCTCTGTCTGACCCATAGGGCACTGGCCCTCGTTAAGGTGTGTGGGACAGGGACAGGGCCATACTGCTATCCCAGCAAGACTCACCTGGGGTGCTGGAGATTGGGGCCCTTGGTATACCGTGGAGTCCCGGGGAAGACTCTTGAGAGACCTAGCTTTGTTCTGGAATGTGGTAGGTGCTGCGTCTGGACTGCCATTATCATAACTGTACAAAATAGTTATTCTTGAGTTTAAAAGTTTCTAACAGCCAAGCATGGTGGTGTGTGCCTGTAATCCCAGCACTCGGGAGGCTGAGACAAGATTGCTGTGAGTTTGAGGCCACCCTGGGCTACATAGTGAGATCAAGGCCAGGCTGGACTACATAGTGAGGCTCTGTCTCAAAAAAACAAATTCTGATAAGGTGGGGTGATAGAATATTTTAGAACTGGATATTGGTGATAGTTGTACAACTCCTGGAATATAGTAGAAACTACTAAATTACACACTTTACTTACTATTTATTTACTTACTTTGTTTTTGTTTTTTTTCGGGGTGGAGTTGGTAATGGGGATTGAACTCAGGACTTTGCACTTGCCAGGCAGGCACAGCGCCACTGAACTACATCCCCGGCCCTATTTACTTACTTATTTTGAGTCAGGGTCTCACTGTGTAGCTCAGACTAGCCTCGAATTTGCAGCAATCTTCCTGCCTTAGCCTCCCTAGTGCTAGGATTATAAATTATACATGTTATGTCGTGCATGGTAGTGCATGCCTGTGATAGCAGCACTTGGGAGGCTGAGGCCAACCTGGGATGCATAGTGAATTCAAAGCTAGCCTGAACTATATAATGAGACCCTGTCTCAAAAAACAAATTACACACTTTAAAATGTGAATTGTAAGGGCCGGGGATTTAGCTCAGTGGTTACACTGCCTGCCTCGAAAGCGCAAGGTCCCAAGTTCAAATCCTGGTACCAAAAAAAAAAACAAAAAACAACTCCCTTGCACAGCATATCTGGCCTCTACCTAGCTTTCCAGCTATATCTCCTGGTATTCTGCCACGTCATTCCCTCTACCCAACCAGGTAGCTTGCAATTCCAAAAAATAAAATGTGAATTGTAGGCTGGGCCTGGTGGCACACACCTGTCATCCCAGCTTCTCTAGAAGCTGAGGCAGGAGAATCACAAGTTCAAGGCCATCTTGGGTAACTTAGCAAAACCATGTCTCGAAATAAAGTGTAAATGAGGTCCTGTCTCAGAATAGAAAAGGACTGGAGATGTAGCCCAGTAAGAAGGCTCTAGATTCAATCCCTAGTACCACCCCCAAACAAACCCAAAAGTTCAAACCACCCTAAGTGTCTTGTCACTATCCAAGCCTCTCTGGCCAGTGACAGATGGAAGGACCCACTGCTCCCCATCGAGCAGGTCACTCAGTCCTCCTCCAGTGGCTCCCCAGTATGCCTGGTGCTGTGGACAGCAGCAAGACCATGGGCTTTCTGGACACCACCAGCCTCCATGTCCCCCCCTCCCTGCTGTCCCTGGGCCCCACCCTGAAGCTGCTGCAGCCTCCTGGGCCCAAGGAAGCCTTGTTCAGATGGTCTGTTGGCTGGCTGTCCAGTAGAGGGCAGGGAAGTGCTCCTGGTGAGTGGGGCACAGGTGGTCCAGCCCTGGGGCAGTGGTTACTGAAGCTGGGGTCCACCGAGGCCTGTCCTCTGGTTCCAGGGAAATCCAGCTCCTGAGGCGGTTACGGCACAGGAATGTCATCCAGCTGGTGGATGTGCTGTATAATGAGGAGAAGCAGAAGATATATCCTTTCTGGGTCGGGGCCCCTGTGCAGGTGGAGGGAATGGGGCTGCCGTTGTGGGAGGGGCTCCTGATGGCTCCATCACAGTCAGCCCGATGGTGTTGAGCCTCTGCCTCCCAGCAGGGATCATGGTGTGATGCGACCTCAGTCAGAGCCTGGTGTATCCTTAGGCTGTTTCTGAGGACCCCCGTCTATGATTTGGGAAGCTGAGGCAGAGAAGTCAGAAAGCTTAGTCCAGGATTTCCTCCCTCCTACCGTGGTGAGAGGTGGGACCCTGGGTCTCTGTCTGAACTCTGACCCTCGAGTTTGGAGGTTCCCAGGGCTCGTGGTTGTTGGGCATGGACACTGTGTCCATTTGGAGGGGGTACTGTGGGCAGGGAAAAGTGAATTGTTCTTGGGAGTTGCTGGGAACATCCGCAGCCCTGATCTTTGTCCCCCAGGTGTTGTGGCTGAGCAGGCAGGTCTGGCCTTGGTTTGGGGGGGACTGTTCCCGCTGTAGACCGTAGCACTTGTACTCACAGCAAGTGCAGCAGGCCAGGTCCTCAACTCCTTGTCCCCAAGGGCCCCTTCCCTTGAGCACACATAATCATCTTCATGAACGTGGCCACTCTTGGTCCAGGGCTGAGGTGACAGCGTGGCCCTCTCCGAGCCATTGCCCTTCCAGGGCCCAACAGGGTGTGGGGTCCTCACTGAGCTGTGGCTTCCTTAGCATTCCACGTATATGGTGATGGAGTACTGCGTGTGCGGCATGCAGGAGATGCTGGACAGCGTGCCTGAGAAGCGGTTCCCTGTGTGCCAGGCCCATGGGTGAGTGAGTGCTGCCCAGCAGGCCCCAGCCCACATGTGGACACAAGGCCACCTTGACTTGGGCCTACCTTCAAACTTTGTATTCTAAATATTATCAGAATGACAGCTAAGGATTTTGTAACAGTGCTTCAGGGGCACCGGTTTGCAGTGCCCACAGCCCAGCTGCACAGGCAGGACTGTCCAACACAGAGTCCTCCCACCTGTCACCTCGGTGGCCTTGTCCCCAGAGAAGCCTGTTTTGACTTTTTGGATTTTGGCTTTGTGATGGTGCCCGGGCCTTGACTGGCCCTCTTGGGTGGCAACAGAATCCAGGTCCATGGTCGTTGCAGTGCTCTGGGGGTAGGGAGAGGACTTGATATTTTGGCAAGATTTGGGGGTCCAGATGCCCCATGTCACAAGGGGGGAAATAAGCCATCAAGGTGAGCCTGGGGTCTCTGGCTCTGGGTGGGAGTGACTGCAGCCTCCTGGAAATCAGGGGGCTCAGCCTTGGAGTCCCCAGTGAGACCTGGCCCTTCTGTTGCTTGAGTTTACCTGGACCCCAAGTGGCTATCCCTGTGTCCTCCTGTCCTCAAGACCTGTTCCCAGGTCACATAGTTTACATCAGCCCCAGAGGGTCAGGGAGGCCAGGGTGGCCCTGAGATGGGCGTCCCCTCCCCACAGGTACTTCTGCCAGCTCATTGATGGCCTGGAGTACCTGCACAGCCAGGGCATTGTGCACAAGGACATCAAGCCGGGGAACCTGCTGCTCACCACAGGCGGCACACTCAAGATCTCGGACCTGGGTGTTGCCGAGGTAGGTGCCTCTTCTGTGGGAGCGGAGAACCAGAGTGCTGCCCCCCCTGCACTTCCTGATGGCCACATGCACTGCCACAGGCCCTGCACCCCTTTGCTGCGGATGACACCTGCCGGACCAGCCAGGGCTCCCCTGCATTCCAGCCACCCGAGATCGCCAATGGCTTGGACACCTTTTCTGGCTTCAAGGTGGACATCTGGTCAGCTGGGGTCACACTGTAAGTGCCACAGACCCTTGTTCCACCCTAAACATGCATCATGCAGGCTGTCGAGGGTCTGCAGCATCCCTCCAGCACCCATGGGCCCTATCTGGCACAGGGTGACCTGAGGTCCAGAACCCCCTCACTCCCAGGCACCCACCAGAGGTGTTTGCCCTTTATTTACTGAGATACAGCTCATGTTTGCCTTGCAAAGTACACAGTGCCCAGGCTGTGGTACAGAGCGGTGGGGTCCTACAGCCCCCTAATTCCTGACGTTTTCATCAAAAGGAAGGTGTGTGAGGGCCGGGGTTTTAGCTCAGTGGTTTCGCCATCTGCACAAGCGCAAAGAGCCAAGTTCAATCCCTGGTACCAAACAAAAAAAAAGGAAGGTGTGTGGTGCGGGTGGGAGTGGCTTCAGGGCTATTGTCCCTGGCTGGTCCAGGACCGAGTCCTGCCTCCAGCAGTGCGGAGTGGGATGAGGGGGCTCCACGGGCCCTGGCCAGCAGCTGACCACCCCCCTTCTCCACCTTGGCTGTGAAGCTACAACATCACGACAGGCCTGTACCCGTTCGAAGGGGACAACATTTACAAGCTGTTTGAGAACATTGGGAAGGGGGACTACACAATCCCAGGTGACTGCGGCCCCCCACTTTCCGACCTGCTGAAAGGTGGGTGTCTTCCAGAGTTCTGGGATGTGTGTGTGTGTGGCAAGACAGTCCTAGCAGCAGCCTTGGTCTAGGTGCAGAGGCCTAGGGTTCCTTCTCACCACCAGCCTGAGATCTTGTCCTTTCTGCCTCTTCTGAGCTGAGACTGTGCTGCTCTAGTGTCCCTGGGGAACTTGTGGCACAGTGGGGTCACTAGGACTCACCTGTGAGACCGGCACTTCCTCCACATGCATGCCCATCTTCCTGGTTGCCCCTGGAACTTTGCCTCAGGTCAGGGTACCCCAAAGCCACCAGTTTTGGGCCTTTCAGGACTGGGTTTCCCTGGTGTCCCCTAGGGCCCTGGGATGCTTCTTGTGCCATATAGCAGGTGGTATCAGGTGACCAGTCACACACTGAATCTGGTGGGCAATGGAGTAGCATGATCCTCACCCTAAGGTTTTGTGCACAGTTGCTGTGGCCAGCAGGAGGCCAGGCCAAGGTGCTGGCACATCTCAGCCCTGTCTGCACCTGCTGCCTTGGTGCTCAGGGCCTATGCGGGGCCAGAGTGGGTTGTCCTGTAGGTAGGTGGCATTTGAGGATTGTGGGCAGAGGTGGGACAGATGTTAGCAGTGGGCAGTGGAGGCCTTGGGGTCTTTGAACTAGCTCCAACCTGGTCTGTGTGCTCCCCACAGGGATGCTGGAGTACGAGCCAGCCAAGAGATTCTCCATACGGCAGATCCGGCAGCACAGGTGAGTGGCTGCCATATCACTGTGTGTGCTACAGAGCTCTTGTGGGGTCACCCTGACCCTCGGCCTGTGGAGGTGGTAAGGTCCAGATGGAGCAGGCCATAGGCCGAGGGGAAGTTGGTGAGCTGGATGTCTGCTTGAGGAGACTGCAGGGCAGAGGTCTGATCAGAACGCTGGAGGTGGGCACGGCAGTATGAGATGTGTGTAGCAGTGCTACTGCTGGCCTGGACAGCCCCATCTCAGCTCAGTGTCTTGGGGATATGAGGCATATGTGCTGCTCCTTCCTCTTTTCTGGTTCCTCCCCAGGAAATGAGTGTGTAAACCAGGCTGGCAGCTTCAGGGCCCCATGTGAGCAGAGGGTCCAGCTGGCACTGCCCCTCTCACTGGGTTCTGCAGTCCTCACAGGCCTCATATCCAGAAGCAAGGGTTTGGTTGGCACCAACATGTTCTGGGATCATCTGGGGTTTGAGTATCCTTCCTGGAGTGTTTGGGGAGGTGCCAGGCCCCCGAGGAAGGGCATCAGTCCTGGCCCACCCTGGCCCTAATGCCCAGCAGTGGTTCAGTGTGGACATAGGGACAGTTGTGGGTTGGGATATATGGGGTGGTCAGGGCCAGCAACCTGAGAGGGTCATTTGGCCACAGCCCGGCTTCCTGAGGTCCTGAGATGTGTCCCCACTCTGCCTGGCCAGCACAGCCTTGTGCTGTGGGGCAGCAGGAGCATGATAGGGTTGAGAGCCCATGGCACAGGGCTGGCAGCTTAACTTCACCCCAGGGGTTAGCACTGGCCAGGACACTCCAGCTGGGAGTGGGAGAAGTGGCTGTAGACAGAGTGGGTGGGACCCTGTGGTATAGCCTGGCCCTTGGCTCCTGTGTGAGTGGTGGCCACTGGTCACCCAGCAGCCATCCTGATGGACGTCAAGACATCTGGGCTTTTGCAGCTGGTTCCGGAAGAAACACCCACTGGCTGAGCCACTGGTACCCATCCCGCCCAGCCCGGACACCAAGGACCGGTGGCGCAGCATGACAGTGGTGCCCTACCTAGAGGACTTGCATGGCCGCACCGATGAGGATGAGGACGAGGATCTGTTCAGCATTGAGGATAACGTCATCTACACCCAGGACTTCATGGTGCCTGGTGAGCTGGCAGAGGCTGTGGCTGGGACGTGCAGAGCTGGCCTGGCCCACATGTCTTATGGGGGGTAGCGCTGTCCCTGGTGGCAGATCCCTGGTCCCAGAGGGCATAGAATCGGGCTGAGGGAGCTGCCCAGCATTGAGGGCAGGTGTGTCTGGGAGGGCTTCTGGGCATCCATCCCAGGTACTGCCTCGTGGTCTGTCAGCTTTCCCTGCTCAAGTCCAGCACAAACTGGTCGTGAAGCTGGAGAGCCCAGGGCAGGGGCTTCTTGCCCCTTCCACAGGGCAACCCGTCAGCCAGCCACACAGAGAGGGTCCAGAGCCCTCCTCTTGGTCATTGAGGCAACTGTGCCCTGATCCTGTCACCTTCTTTCCCAGGTGGCCAGGAAGTGTCTGAGGCAGGGCTAGTGAGGAGCGAGGAACATGGAGGAGCCAGGGAACCAGCCCTCTGAGGAGAGGAAGCCGAGGAGGAGCGAGGCCTTAGTGTAGCCTCCTCCCGCCGTCCCTGCCGCCTGCCCCATCCAGTGCCCCTGGACTGTCTTTGCTATAAAGCTCTGTCTGCTGTGTGTTTGGGTGATGCACTGTGGCTCCCCTCCGCCAGGCCCCAGTGGCCGCTAACTACTGCCAGCGTTCCTGAGGGGACAGGCGCCGCCTGAGGGGTGGGAGGGCCAGGCAGGTAGTCCCAGGGCATGGGGCTGTGGCTGCAGGGGAGGGTTTTGGAAGGTTGGGGTCAGGGAGCCCTGCATCGCTTCCCCAGCACTGTACAGCAGCACCTGGTCCCCATGAGCCCCACTGGCCTAGCTTGGCAGGTGGCCTGAGGCTGAGCAGGGCACTGGAGGCTGTGCTGCCTCCTGTCAGATATGGCCCCTGGGTGCCAGCTGCTTCCTGGGGATTCTGGGCATCCTGGGAGGGGAGTTATACATGTGGGGTCCTGTGGGAGGAGGCTCCCATGTTGGCTGCCTGGCTCTGCCTCGGGCAGGCCGGCAAAACCTAGCCTGGGCCCTTTGCCCTGACGGGCAGTCCCTCAGCCCCCGGCCAGGGCACCAGACCAAAACTTCCTTGTGGACTGTGTACTGGCACACAGACCGTGGTTCCCACGTGGGAACCCCTTGGGCCCCTAAGTCCATCAGGCCTGCCTTGGCTTGAAGAGAGGTAAGGTTGGCAGGGAAAGAATAGGGATGGGTGGTTACCACCTTCTCCTCTCCTGTACCCAGCACCCAGGATTGTCCAGAAGGTGCCCCTGTGCCTGACATTGCATCCCCAACCGGGTATGGCTCTTTGTGCAGAAGCAGGATGCTGTGGTGGCTTGGGCTGTGGCCCACTTGCCCCGGGCTGGTTCTGCTTTATACACCTGACTGTCCCCACCTGGCCTGGCAGCCCTGTCACCATCCCAAGAGCTGGGTCCGGGCTGCGAGTCGGCAGGATGTGAGACCTAATCAGCCCAGACCCAGTGACAAGACTGGCATCTCATTACCAAGGGCACTGTGGAAGCTGGCTGTGTCTGCATATGCAGGGTTGGGGCAGGCAAGCTCTAGAAGCCAAGTTACGCCAGCCCCACCCAGCACAGGGCACATACTGGCCCCAGGAGCCTCAGGCAGCAGGTTCCTGTAGACATCTGCAGGGTTGGGCACGACTGAGTGACCACACTAGCTCCCAGTGGGTGGGCTGGCCGTGTCTGCAGGAACTGCTTGAGAGGCAGGCCTCCACCTCTCCTTGCCTGTTGTGCACGTGCCTAGCTGGGCAGGGTGGCTGCAGTGGACCCTGCCATGCCGGGGACGAGAGCCTGGGTGGGGGTCTGCAGACTGACCTCATTCTCATGGGCTGTTTTGGCCTTCGAGCCCAGCTTATCCTATGATAGCAGGTGGGTGCAGGGCAGGCTCCTGCCTGCTCTCCTTTTGAAGGATTGGGGTCCCTTCAGGTGCCACTTGAGCCACAACAGGCAGAGGGGTCCACCCAGGTGCCAGGTGTGGGCTTGGCACAGGGTACTCTTGCTCCTGGCTCAGGTGGTGCTTGCCATCTTCCTCTTAGGACAGGTCCCGGAGGAGGAGGAAGCAGGTCAGAACGGACAGAGCCTCAGCCTACCCAAGGCTGTGTGCATGAATGGCACGGAGTCTGCACAGCTGAGTGCCAAGCCCAAGGCCGGTGCCACCCACTCAGCCCGCAAGGCCTGCTCCAGCAGCAAGATCCGACGGCTGTCGGCCTGCAAGCAGCAGTGAGGGCGCCGCCTGCAGGTGGGTGAAAGGTGGGACAGGGGCAACCTCTAAGCCTCTGTGGGGAAAGGAGGGGTTCCTGGCTGTCCCCAATAGAAGGTACAGGGTGTGGAGCTGTCACTGGGGCTGGCACTTAGGTGGCCACAGCCAGTTCTGCTCGGTCCCTGGTCTCTGGCGGTCCTGCCAGTCACTGCAGCCTGCAAAGCCATATAGCAAGGCTGTGCCAGCTGTCATTCCCCCCACACAGCCACTGTTGTCATGGCAGGGTCAGGGATGGGTTGGAGGTGCTCACTTTCCAGAGCACCCTGTCCAGCCGCACCAGGATCCATGGCCTGTGCTGGGCCTGCTGCTCCGGAAAAGTCCATGCTAGATGCAGCCCTGAGACTCTGGATATGGCTGCAGATGGCAAAGGATGGCTGGGTGGTGCCTGGCAGCTCACTGTGAGCCACTGGGGTCCTGGAAGGGCTGAGTTGTCCAGGGTCCCTCGGGGTTCCCTGTGTGCCTCCACCTGGCCCTGCCCAGCCACATCCCCACTGTACTGCTGAAGTGTCCTTGCCTCCTGTAAGGGAGCCCATGGCAGGAAGTGGCCTCTTGCTGTCTCACCCTGTTGACCAGGCCTTAGTTTCCCCAGCTGTCTAGTGGCTTCTCAGGCACGAAGTGAGGTCCAGGTGCCCAGAGTGACCACTAATGTCCTCTCGCCCACAGCCTGTCTCCAGGAGCCACGGCCCATGGCCGTGGCCCAGGCTCTCAGTCTTCCTGCTGGTTTCCGGCCCACTGCCTGCCCAAGAAGGTGGCCACCATGCCTCTGTGCTGACCGCTCAGGACGTCAGGAGCACAAGGGCTAGGCAGCGGGGTGACAGGGGTCTTGGTGCACCCCTCCCGGGGCCACCTGTGCACAGCACCACTGGGTAGTGGACACGACCAGACTCTGCAGTCCTGTGTAAAGCCCTCCCCGGGCAAGGGAGACAGAGGCCCAGCCTCCAAGATGCACTTTATGTTCAGACTACTGGCCCTCTGCCCGCCCCCCAGCGTCTGCCCCTGCTGCTGGGGACATGCCGCGGCCCTGGAGAGCAGGCTCCTGCCAGCATCTTGCATGCAGACCGCCTGAGGGAGCCCCGTGGCCTCGTTTTTGTTGTTTGGTTGGTCCTTCTCTTTTTTTTTCTTTTTTTTTTTTTTTTTAAATAAAACAGGTGGATTTGAGCTGTGGCTGTGAGGGTGTTTGGGAACCATGGGGAGAGGGATGGGAGCACATGGTCCCCACAGGCAGGACCCCATCTGAGCTTTGTCTTGCTCAGATAAGTGGCCAGTGGGATGCTGAGGCCACAGTGGTCTTGGGTCCCCAGTGAAAACCAGGAGCAAGCAGGAGTGTGCATTAAATATTTAATAATCGACCAGAAAACAAAAACAACACGAGAACGCCATCTTGGGGTGGGACAGACTGGACGGGCAGCAGCGAGGGCAGGGCCGACGGCCCCATCTTTTGGCAATAAATAAAGCTCGGGAGACTTGAAGCTGTGCCGCCTGGGCTGTGTTCTGTCCACATCTCCAACACTGAGTCCCCGGTGGCTCCTCTGGAAGGGGCAGGCATGGGTCGCCAATCGCATGCAGGACAGGACGGATGGAACAGCGTGTACAGGGAGACAGCATTGGCAGGAGGAGCCAAGTTCAGGGCTGGTGGCTGTGGCAGCAGCGTTGGCGGCGGCAAGCGCAGTTATTGCTCGGAGTGGGAGGGGGCGCGGGCTGCCGCGAACACATGCCGCGGTGAGGTAAACGGCTTGGTGGGGTTGGCAGCCTCGGCCTCCAGCCAACCTCCTGGGTCCTGGGATGGAGAGCTCTTTGATCCTTGGTCCCCAGTCAGTTCCTACCCTGATGGGGATCACGCATGCGCCTGGCGGGCAGTGGCCTCCCCCCTCCCGAATACATGCTCCTGACCCCTCAAGCTTCAACTGGGCATGGAGGGAAACTATGCACATCCCTTGAGATGTCAGATCCCAAGCCCACACTGCAGTCCGGGACCACTGCCCCTCCGAAGCAGAAATGTTGCGCTGTAAGGCCTGGAAGCTGTTGTCTGAGGCCATGGGCATTGACTTTTCCTTAAGGGCCCAAAGATGGGAATTTCTTCCTCCAGTCAAGCCAGGGTCATGGAGCATTGCACCTCTTGATACCGTGATGACCAACCCACAGCATGCCCAGAAAGGGCAATGGGTGTACACACCTGGAGGGCAGGAGGTCGACAAGGGGCCGTGGCGTGTGCACGTGGGACTACGACTGCTGGCCGCTGAACTGTACACATGCGCGCCTCTAGGGATGCATGGAGCTGCGAGTGTGCACACCTGGGACAGCCAGAGCACCCGGTCCGCACATGTGCACAACGGGCCAGTGTGGTCCAGGTGCATACATGCGAGGGCATCGCGTCCCCAGGTCTGTCCCACTGCCGTCGCTGCCGAGACCCCAGTGCCAGAGAAGCTGCCCAGAGGTAGGCTCGGGGCACAGGACTTAGGCCGGGCTGTGGTCGGGGGATGTAGGGGCAGCAGCGACGACCAGCGCTGGGGCTGCAGGGACTGGCTCGGCCAGGCACGGGGGAAAGAGTCTCTCCTCGAGGCCTGCTGCCAGCTTGTCCAGCAGCTCCCTGGAGGGCTCCACACAGAGGCCTGAGCCAGGGCAGCCTCCACCGCCCCCCCCACCGCCGGGCTCCTCCTCGATGACGGGAATGGCCAGGTCGTCGCCCGTGCTGGCCAGTGCACGGCCCTCGGGTGGACAGTCGACACTGTCACCACGGCGCAAGGGCGCACGCGCAGGCCGAGGCACGCCAGCAGGCGGGACTGTAGGCCCCGCAGCAGGGGCTGCACGTGCACCACCAGGGTCGCTGTGCTGCCTGCCGCGCTGCTGCCACTGCTTGCGTGCGTGCGTGTGTGGATGCGCGCGTGCACGGTGGCGCACGGTGGCCGGGGTGTCATCGAAATGCGGGTCGTGTCGCAGGAACTCGTGGAAGAGCGCATCGGTCTTCTCATCGATGCTGTAGTCCCGCCGCGGCCGGCGTGACCAGGCACGCGGACTGCGTGGAGAGGGGGCGGGTGTGGCCAGCGGCGGCTCGATGACCGCGAGGTCGTCACCTGCACCGCGGCCACCCTCAATGCTAACATAGCCACTGTCCATCTGCAGCAGCCGGCGAGCCTCACCATCCTTGGGGCGCGGGGGCGCGGGTGGTGAGGGTGGTGGGAAGGCAGGCACCGCGCCCCCTGAGCCAGAGCTGTCGCCACTGCGCACCGAGTCGCGGTCGTTGCCACTGCTGCTGTGGTCTGAGGCGGTGGCCGCGTGCAGCTCGAGCGAGGCGCGCAGGCTCCACAGGTCGCGGTAGCTGGCCTGTGCCTGCTCGGCGTCCAGCTCCGGCTGCTCGGGCCCCGAGACGGCGCCTCGCTCCAGGGGGGACTCGGGGCTCACTCCTCCCGCTGCCTCGGCCGCCTCTAGCCTGCAAGCCAGGCCGCGGTCATCAGAGCCCGTCAGCCATCAGAGCCCGTCGGCCACCCGCCTCTGGGGGTGGGACCGGGAAGGGCTGCAGTAGGGTGGGGGAAACCTCAGGACTGGACTGTGCAAATGTCCCGGGGCTTCAGGGGCAAACTGTTCCTCTAAGAGTTAACTACCATTCCTCTCTTCTAGTCTCTCCAGGGACATGGGGGCTGGAGGATGGACCAGGCAGTCACTTCACCCACACATCACAGGTTTGATAGGACCAGGAGAGTGAGGCATAGAAATGAGTCACTCGCCATAGACAGGAGCTGCCCAAGTCTGGAAGGCACCCTGAGCAGTCCCGTGCACACCCCACCCCTCGCAACTCCTGTTGGTTTGGGCACCAGTTTCAGGACAGTTGCTTGAAAGTTGGGGTTGGAAAGGGATGGAATTATGGTGGGAGAGATTATGAGATTCTGAGAGGGGGCTGTCCATCCCTTAAGGAGTCTGGGCAGGCGGGAGGGGACTGGGCCCCACTGAGGAGCCCCTCAGGCCTTGGACTCCACCAGGAAGCGGCAGCACTAGGGTGGACACAAGTCCACGGTGGCCCTGCCTGGGCAAGTGGCCCTTCTTGGGGACCCTGGGGCCATCCTCTGGAGCCACACCTGCCCCCCTACCCTTACCCAGTCTCTCCCTCCTTCCCTCCTCCTTCGGTCCTTGCAGGGGGACCCGAGCGCGTGTCCACAGGGCCAGGAGGGTGCTCCCTGGGCCACCTAGTGGGGACGGAGCAGGGCAGGGGCCCACAGGTCCACCCCTAGCACCTCTATCTACTGAAAAATACCTGCCGAGAGCGGGGGGCGGGCTGGTGGGGCTGGCCAGAAAGGGGCGGGGGGGTGGGAAGGCCACAGCGTCGCCAGCACGGGCGATGTACTGGATGAAGTCTGCATAGGGGGCGTCCCCCTCATCCTGCTCCATGCTCTCGCTGGCTGCCCGCTGCCGCTGGAAGTGGTGGCGTTTGGGGGAACCTGTATAGGGTAAGGTTTGTTGGTCTGCTTTGTTCCCCTTACACACACACACACGCGCACACACACACACACACCCATATTCAGGCAGCAGCTCCCAGGGCATGATAGGTGTGGAGAGTAGTTCTCAGGGTACAGTGAGGAAATTGAGGCACAGGGCAGAAAAATCAAGACCAAAGAGCAGGCTTCAGTTAAAAAGACCATAGGTTAGGGCCAGGGATTTAGCTCAATGGTTCTGCCGCCTGCTTTGCAAGCGCAAGGTCCCAAGTTTGATCCCCGGTACCAAAAAAAAAAAAAAAAGACCATAGGTACAGCTGAGCACAGTGGTGCACATCTGTAATCCTAGCACACCTAGAGGCTAAAGCAGGACAATAGCAAATATAAACCTAGCTTAGGGAACTTAGTGACTCTGTCTCAAAATTTTAAAACCAGGGACTAGGGGCCTGGGATGTACCTCAGCAGCACCACGCCTACCTAGCAAGCACAAGGTCCTGAGTTTGATCCCCCGTACCAAAAAATAAATACGTATATAAATAATAAGGAATGGGGTCTAGGGATGTAACTTAGTGTGGAGGCCCTGGGTTCATATCCCTAGTACTGGGGGACAAAGGCCTTGGTTAGAAGTAGTGCCCAGAGGAGCCCTGGCCAGACAGGCGTGGGCTGGAGCAAAGGCACCCAGTAGCAGCCACAGCTGGGAAGGCGTGGGAGAGTCAGGGCCAGGCTGGTGGGAGCCAAGGTGAGTGAGGGAGGTACCCTCTCCTGCAGGCTGCACCCTGGCCCAAGGAGTTCTAGGGGTGCCCTGCCCCCACCTAAAGCTTCCTCCAAGGGAGCAGGCAGTGGGCAAACCGTGGGGTGGGCAGGGCAGCCACACCTGGCAAACAGGTTTGGGGCCTCTGCAACTGCCAGTGACTGTAATCACCACCAGGAATCAGGGCTCCATCTGAAAATGTGGGGCTTGTGCTCCACCCAGACGACAGCTTCCCCATCTCAGGATCCATGGCCTCTACAGGACAGCAGGCCCAACCAGCCCCAGTCTCTCTGAGCTGCTGCTATTCACTGAGGTCGAAAGCAGGACAGTGCCTGCTTTCCCCATCCCCATGCACACTTGGTCCTGCCCTGGGTTCAGGATGAGGAAACCCTGTACCCAGGGTTAGCAGGCCACTGCCTAGCAGCCAAAATGGCCCCCAACCTGTCTCTGAATAAAGTCTTATTGGCACACAACCATGCTCATTCATTTACATCCATCTCTGGCTGCATTCTAGCTACAAGAGCAGCACCAAAGAAGGAGCTGCAAGGAGATTGGCCGCAAAGTCCAAAAACATCACTGTCCAGTCCTTACAGAAGACACTGGTTTCCCCAGTCCTTCTCCCCGAGTCTCTACCAGAAAAACCAAAGCTCAGACAGTCAAACAGACAAGGTGGCTAAGGTCACCCTAGGAGGAGACAAGGGAAAGTCATTGCCAGATGGAACAAAATGCACCCAGAGGGCATCTAGCTGGGGCACACCAGGGATACAGGGACCCCTGACAGCCTTTTTGGCCAGCTTAGGGCAGTTACCCTGCCAGGGCCTTGCTGCCCATGGGGGTGGCAACTGACCTCTTGTGTCCAGACTGGATGCCCGCTGGCTGGGCTCCAGCTTCCATTTCTTGACCTTGAAGTAGGGGCTGGCCCCATCCAGGCTGGCATGGCGGCGCAGGCGGGTGAAGAACTGCAGGACAGTGCCTGGCCCGGAGCCTGCCCCCACCTCCCCAGGCCCTGCCGAGGTCCCGGGTCCACCAGCCTTGGCACTCCTGGCACCTGTATCCAACTGAGAGAAGACAGGGAGCATTCTCAGGCAGGCAGTCCCCTCCCCAGCCCCAAGTGCCAGCCCTAGCTGGGCACCAGGAGGTAGTACCCACACCCCCACCTGGATGAACCTGCTCAGAGCAGGAGTGGGAGGGGCTTCTCCCTCTGACACCTTGCCAGTCCCTGTGCAGAAGAGTTCAGGGATAAAGTTCCCAAGGGTGAGGGGCTGGGACTCAGGGTAGGTGCTGGCTGTGTCCCCTGCAGTCACCCAGAACCACACAGAGGAAGCCTGAGGTCCCCTTGTGTGGGGGGGGGTGTGCCATGTCCCTTAGGCCTGTAAAGGCCAGGCACAAAGCCACAGGGTGAGGATCTTTCTTGGGGTGGGGGCACACGAGAAACAGCCCCAGTTCTCTGGACACCCCAGGGAGAAGAGAGGGAGGTCCTTACCGAAGCACTTTCCCCAGAGTCGCTGGAGGCTGAGGGGCTGATTTCTGCAAAGTCAGAGGCGCCAGCAGCAGAGTTGTAGGGGTCACCTGGCAGGGCGGAGCTGGGGCCCACAGAGCGGCCGGTGAGGGCCTTCCCCGGGGGCTGTGGGACAGAGCCAGGCAGGGGAGGAAGCAGTGACAGGTCAAAGAGCATGGGAGGGTGAGGGGGGACCCAGCCCTCAACCCACTCAGCCCCAGGGGTCCAGCCAGCTGCCCTCCCACCATCCCTCACCTGGAAGATGGCCAGGCTGTCCTTAGGGGTGGTGGCCGGGTTGGGTGTGGCAGCTGAGCTGGCCTCACCCAAGTCACACTCGTGGATAGTGATGATCTTGAGGGGTGGCAGGTGCAGGTGGGTGAGGCGGGAGTTCTTCAGGTGGTGGAAGTCTCCCTCAGTCAGGGTATACCTGCAGGAGGAGTCCTGGTCAGTGCATCTCGGGGCCCAGGGGTGGGGTCCTGAAACGTTATCCTCAAGCCCAACCTCCTCTACAGAGGAGCAGCCCTGACACCCTGGACCATAGCCTCCTAGCCACACACCCTCACCTTCGGCCCTTGTCCTGAGCCTTCCGGCTCTGCTCAAACAGGGCAGCCTCGTTGAAGGAGACCCGGCGGCCAGTGGAACTGGTAGACAGGAAGCGCTCGGTCTCCACATCTTGGCCCTCAGGGTCCTCGCCCCGGAACTCAGGGTCTGCCAGGAGAGCCAAGAGAGGGTGGGCCCCGGGTGGGCCGTGCTCTGTCCTGGGCAGGCCATGGGAATGGGGTGGGACCGGGAGGGTGCAGGGTTGAGTAACCGCAGGACGGAAGGAAGGACGGATGGACGGACGGACTGGGCGGGCTGGGGCAGGCGGGGCGGGCTCTCGGGCACTCGCTCATCCGCTCACACACTCACTCGCTCAGCATGCGCCTGTGCGCACCTACGCCTGGGCGTTAAGCAAACAGAGATGAGTCGGAATCGAGCTGCGCCCAGTCTGGTGGGGGAGACAGACAGACACAGACCGTCAGGCGGCCTGAGGGGGCAGGCGGCAGGCAGGTGGACAGATGGACGGATGGGGTGGTCGGGCCAAGCAGGCCCCTCACCTTGGGCAGGGTGGGCGCCATTGTCCAGGTAGGTGGTGGTGGTCTTCTCTGTTTCTTCCATGGCCCTAGGGTGCCAGGGAAGGGATAGCAGTGAGTGGACTGATGACCCAGGCGAGCTGCATGTCAGGGTCCTTGGGGGCAGGCGCACCTGTTGAAGCGCTGGTGGACTTCCCAGCAGCGTTTACACAGGAGCAGGACACCCGACAGCACCACCAGTGTGCCCCCAATGAACAGTGACATCACCACGACCAACAGCACATAGTTGTCCAGGATGGGATCAGGCTGAGCCTGCAGGCATGTACAGGGAAGAAAGTGTCAGGGTCCTGCCCACCGCCCTGACTTCTGGTGCACTCCTACACCCCATCCCTCGCGGTCACCCACCGTGGGACGGACGGTGGCATTGTCCCACGATGTTGTCAGGGCAACTGTGGCGGTGGTGGTGGCTGCAGTGGCCATCGTGGCAGTGGGCTGCATCTTAAGGCTGGGGGAGGGGAAAACGGACTGCTCAGCTCCAGCCTCACCGGAGCTACTGGAAATGAGCCCCTCTTATCCCTGCTGGAAGCAGGAGCCCACACAGGGCGGTGAGTCATGGACAGGAGGGGCAGGGTGCTGCAGCAGCCCCCGTCCTCTGCAGACTGTGCAACGGGCGCGCGGGGGGGGGGCTTCTCCCTGAGGACCTCAGTTTTGGCATCTTTACCCCTAGAGAGGTGTACGTGTGTGTGTGTGTGTGTATGTGTGTGTGTGTGTGGATCACAAATGCCTCCCTGGCCAGTGTGGCTGGCCCAGCAAGGTAGTATGGGCCTGGGGGAAGCCCTGTCCAGAAAAGGGAAAGCCCACCTAGGGAAATGGGGAGCGTGAGACTGGGGAGCACTCAGGCAAAACCCCAGGTGCCCTTATGGTGCCTCAGACAGGGGGATTGGCAGCCCCAGCCAGGTGTCTCTGTCCGCAGATAGGACGCAAAGGAACTCGCCCCAGCCGCGCCAGGAACCCCTCCCAGGAACCCCTCCCCACAAGTCACGACTCAGGAGGTGAAGGTCCCTCAGTACCCACGCTGGTGGGAGTGGAAAGGACAAAAGAGGCGCATCTGCTTCTGCCCCAGAATCTGGTTCCCATGGCGACCGTGCGCAGGGCGAGCTGGGGGGCGGGTTGCCAGGCAGAGGGAGGATGGCGGGGAGGGGGGCGCGGGGGCGAGGAGGCCGCCTGCGGGGGCGCCCCAGCCGCGGCGGCTGCAAGATGGCTGCTCCGCGCGCCCGACCGCCAGTGCCCAACCTGAGCGCCTGCACCAGCCCAGGCCCAGCTGACTGGCCTCCACAGCTACCTCGCGCTTGGGGGAAACTGAGGCTGGGGAAGGGGCTCTCAGTACTCGGTAGCGGGGGCGGGGGTGCCTCCAAACTGCACCTGACCTACCCAGGGCGGGAAGGGCGGAACGGGAAGGGGGGGGCAAGGGTATGGCCGCTCTGGTCAGCGGCATCGAGCCGGCACAGCGCGCACGCAAGCCCCTTTCCCCACTAAAGAGGAGCGCACAAGCTCCAGTATCACTAGCCAGCCCTTTTCAGGCTTCGAGCCCCTGGACGGTGTGTGAAACTGTGGCCCTGAGAAGGGGAAGGTGCGCAGGGCGCCCCGGTGTCCTCAGCGCTCCGGGTCAGAGGCTGGCTGGGACTCCCCGGTTTGGGAGACAGGGGGCCCCAGATGTAGGTCGGGAAACAAGTTCAAGCTGAAGGGGGTGGGGCAGCGGCACAGGCATGATGACGGGAGGAGACCGGGAAGATGAATGGAGAGAGAACGAGAGGTGGGCTGGGGCGGGTGGGGGGGGGGGGGGGACGACGCGGGACTGCCCGTGGGAGGCTCCCTGCGACCTCGAGCCGACTCCTTTGGCTACTGCGCTAAGGCAGGAGGTCGAGGCGCTGTCGCCCTTGCCCAATTTAACCTGGAGAAACTGAGGCGGGGGAGGGCGCGGGCGAGAGGTTTCTTTGCCAGGTCGCTGGACCACCGGGCGGAGTGCAAAGCGACGCAGGCCGCTCTCGGGCCCGCCTGGCTCCTCCACATCCTACCTCGCAACGCGCGGGGCAGGGCCAGGGGGCTGGGGCCAGGGCACGCCCCAGGGCCGGCCACCATCCCGGGTCACGCGCGCTACCCGCCCGCTCCCCCTCCGTCCGCCCCGTGCGCCCCGGGCCCGCCGCGCCTACCTCACCGCCGGGACGCGCGCGGCCCATGGGCAGCGGGCGGAGGGCGGGCGGCGGCTGCGCGGCACTCCCCGGCTGGCTCAGGCACCCGGCGGCAGCGGAGCAGGCGGAGAATTTATGAATGGAGAGAGCGGCGCGCGCGGGGGAGGCCGGCGCGAGAGGAGGGGCCGCACACGTGACCGCGTTGGCGGCGCTCCCGCTCGGTGCGCCCGGTGCCGCCCGGTGCCCAGCCGGCCGCCCCCGCCGCTCTCGCCGCCCCGTCTGGCTAGCTCCGCGCTGGCCACCGCCTCCCCTTCTCTTCCGGCGGGGGCGGGGGCGGAGCCTGAGCTCCCGGGCGCCCCCTCCCGCGGCGCCCGGGTCCCCACCCCCTGCAAGGCTGCACGACTCACCTAGTCCAGGTCCTTGGCCTCCAGGGATACATCGCCCGGGGCCTAGGGTGCGTAACTCCCCATAACTCAGGTCCCTGAGGCTCATGGCCTCCTTTGGGTGCAGGAATTGCCCTGTATCCCAAGGCACTGGGCCAAGGAGTCCAGGGTGCACCGACAGTCAATCTTACTCATCCCCTGGGTGCACAGTTCCCTCCAGTCTGGGATCTGCAGGGTGTCCAGGCCAAGGGATCTGGGGACATGAACCCTACCTGTTTCCCTAATGCATGTGGGTCCCCTATGGCACTGTCAGGGGCCCGCCATAGTCCCCTGTCCCCTGTCCTCCCTCCAAGGTACAGCAAAGGAGAGATGGTAACACAAGTATTCAGAGTGTTGCTGAGTGTCCCCCAGGGCCCACCTTGCACCCACAGAGACCTGCTCCTCATGGAGCGTCATGCCAGCTGAAACCCTGCTTACAGAGACAGCCTATCCCCTTTTTTCTTTTTGGTGCTGGGAGTCTGGCACATTAAACTTGTGCCTTATGACTGAACTACACCCCCAGCAGTAGATATACTCATCCTTTTAATTGGTTAGACCACCAGCCTACCACCAGCCTGGTCCAGATCACATCCCAGCTACCCTGGGCCTGTGTGCCAGGCCTCACAATAGCACCCTTCTAACACTGAGAATTCAGACTCAGGCCAACCTCAGAACCTTGGTACCTGTATGTGTCTGCCCATCATGTGCTCTTTGAATGCTTCACTCTACTCCCAATTTTCCCAAGAAACCATTGGTTTCATAGCACTCCACCACCCACACCCTGGGTCCCCTATTCTGCTATCTGTGTGGCCCTACATCAGGCATTCTACTCCTCTATGTTGTCTTGCCTCATTACATTGTGAATTCCAAGGACAGGAACTTTTTCTTTTTTCTTTTTGGTTTTTTTTTTGGTACTAGGGATCGAACTCCGGCCTTTGCACTTGCAGAGCAGGAGATGGAACCGGAACCACTGAGCTAAATCCCCAGCCCCCTAGTCTTTTATTTTTTAAGGACTTGCTGGGGCATGGGGGCACATGCCTGTAATCCCAGCACTCTGGAGGCTGAGGCAGGAGGATTGCTGTGAGTTCAAGGCCAGCGTGAATTACAGAGAAAGATCCTGACTCAAAAAAACATTTTTTTGGTTGAGTTGCTAAATTGCCCAAGCTGAGCTGGAGCTTGTGATCCTCCTGTCTCAGCCTCCCACATTTCTGGGATGGCAGGGATGAGCCACCATACCTGGCAGGATAAGAACTTCTTAATGGCTGGGTCCGCAGGCTGAGCACAGGGCCAGCACACAGGAGGGAATGGACGTGTCTGCTTAGGGACAGCAAGGTGATTAAATAAACGTGCAGGGATCAGGGATGCTGGCTCCACATGGGGAAAGCTGAGAAAGCAAAGTGTTTGCAGAAAGCAAAGCAGGGAGACCAAAGTACGGCTCCCAGCCTAGGAATGACTCCCCCAGGCTTCAGCTTTTCCCAAAGAAGACTCTCTGGCACCTGAGGTGAGGCGGGGAGAAGGCTGGGGCTGTGCAGGTCTGAGATGGCCACAAAGGCAGGAATAGGTGGACAGGCCAGACAGGGTGGAGTTCCGAGATCTTCTTAGGTTTCGAGCCCTAAGCAATGGTGCTGCTGTCACCAGTGGGCCACCAGAGTGGAGACTGCAGGTATACCTACCTGATATTTTTTTGAGGAGCCCATTAGGCCTCCCTGCTCCTTGGAGTGGCAGGTGAATACAGGGGCTCTAGTCCCACAGAGCGGGGCATCCATGTTTGCACCTGGGAAAGGATGGGGCTTCTCGCTGCGCTTAACTTCCCTGGGGCAGAAGGTCCAGATCATCAAGACTGATGTCCCGAGTGTCCCTCCCAGCGCTGGCCTGGGGTCTGTGACATGGATCAGCAGATGACTGGATCCTGGTGTGTATGGGGACAGACTCTAGGTGTGGGGAGGCACACGGGGTGTTAGACCCTGGGTCTCCCTCACTGTAGCATGGCGGGAACTCAGTATGACACCCCCGCTCAGTGTGACCACCATACCTGCACCCTGGGGTCCAGCCCTCTGCACCTCAGCCCAGTCCCTCCACAGTGTGAGACACCAGCCCCCAGCCGGCCCTGACCCTTCATTTTCCGGGAGCCCAAGGAGGAGGGGACTGACAGCCAGCCCAATCCCGCCCACCAGCCTGCGTGAGCGCGGGGGCGGGGCGGTTGACGTCATGGCCGCGAGCGAGACTGCGCGGGACACGGTTAACGTCAGCGAGGCCCTGGAGCCGCCCTTGCATGCGCTCCTGCGTCAGCGAGGCGCGGGGGCGAAGGCCCATGGGCTGGGGGCGGTGGAGCTGGGCGAGCCCATCTCCAGGCACCGGACACCCAGCAACCTTCCTGTCCCACCGGGTGCTTGCATGCGCTGTGCCTTACCTGGGCTGCCGTTCCTGACACGTGCTTGTACTCCTGCAACTTTCACTACAACCCCACCCCACCCCGTAGTTTGTGTTACGTGTGTATTTTCGCACGTATCACTTTTTTTTTTTTTTTTGGAGACACGATCTCAGTATGTAGTTCAGGATGGTCTTGAACTCGAAGTGATCCTCTTGCCTCAGCTTTCCCAATGCTGGGATTACAGGCGTGTGCCACCCCGCCCGGGACCTGTCACTTTTTAATACACTACAGATCAGCTTATGATTGACAAATAATAAGCGCTCTCTTCACCACCCTAGAGTACCCTGTTTTTGCTTCACAAATGTCTGCAGCGCCTGGCATCCAGTGAACGTCCTGAAACAACCATGGAGCTCGGGTGGACCCCTCTTCGCACAAGCATCGAGGGCCACAGTTGCCGAAAAATGTAATCGTCCACCGCAAGAATTTCCAACCCTAGCGAGGGTCCGAAGAAAACTACAACTCCCAGATGGCTCTCGCGCGGGGCTCTGCGTTCTCGTCATCGACTGTGCGCGGCCCGGCCGGAGTCGTACTGCACGCGTGCGCGCTCAAAGGGACTGCTCCTCCCAGAAGTCCCCGCACGTCGTCCTCCTCGCCCTCCAGGCCACTTCTCCCGCCGTTGCCCGTTGTCTGCTGCCGCCGTTGTTCGTCTACCATCGCTTCCATGCTGTCTGCCACACTGCTCCGCCGTCTTGGCCTGGGCCACCTCGTGCGCCAGGCGCGTGCCTACGCCGAGGCTGCCTCTGCCCCGGCTCCCGCCGCCGGTCCCGCCCAGATGTCCTTCACCTTCGCCTCCCCTACACAGGTCCAGACCCCGCGCCGTCGCCGCCCCGGGGCGCGAGTTCCTACCTCAGGTCGTCAGCCGCCCTCGGTGGCCCCTTCCCCGCCCCTTCCATCCCTATGGTCCGGAGGTCGAGGCGCCCCCTTCTCCCCAACCCACAGAATCGCAGTATTTTTTCGCCGCACCTTGGGCTCCCGGAAACCGAGCTCCCATCCCCTCGTGGCCGAACGCCTTCCCCGGACAGCGCGGTTCCCCCAACCAAGGGGTCGCTGGACCCCAGCTGTGCTCGGGGAGGGGAGGGGCGGGGCGGGATAGCGGAGAAATGGCTCTCAGACTTCCACCCCGGAACCCAATCCCTATAACCGACGTGCCTCTGGCCATACATTGCATTGTCCAGGGCCCTTCTCTAGATAAACTCTCGGGTATTCCCTTTTCTGCTAAAATGGCCTTTGCTGGAGTCTCTAGAGAGTGGCTCGGGTGGCCTCCTGTGCTGGTATTCCCATTTTGGAGATAAGCGGTGGAGGCAACAACTGTCCCCGAACCAAAGCCAGCGCTGGCGGCGTTTGTCCCCACCTGGACACAGTCCTGCCTGGACCCAATTCACAAAAAAGACTGAGTCCCTAGTGGCCATGGCACTGGGTAGCAGCAACAGCGTCCCCCACGCTACCCTCTCCAGGTGTTCTTCAACCGTGCCAACGTGCGGCAGGTGGACGTCCCCACACTGACTGGAGCCTTTGGCATCCTGGCATCCCACGTGCCCACTCTACAGGTCCTACGGCCAGGGCTGGTTGTGGTCCACGCTGAAGATGGCACGACTACTAAGTACTTTGGTTAGTCTGGTGGGCTTAAGTGAGGGCCTCCTGACCCGACGGGGCTGGGCACAGACACGTGGTCATCTAGGAAATGGCAGAAACAATTCATCTTGCTGTGAATCAGTGTGCAGTGGAGGGGTGGGGTGTGTATGACTCGTTAGGAAGAGAGACAAGATGCTTAGGAGAGATGGTCGAGCTAAGGAGCTGGGCACAGAGGTGCGCACCTGCCGTCCCAGCTACTCAAAAGGCTGAGACAGGAAGATGGCAAGTTTGAGCACAGCCTGGGTAACTTAGCAAAACCCGTCTCATAATTTTAAAAAGGCAGGGGCCGGGGATTTAGCTCAGTGGTGTCACACCTGCCTGGAAAGCGCAAGGTCCTGATTTTGATCCCCAGTACCAGAAAAAAAATTTTTTTTAAAGGTGGAGACGTAGCTCAGTGCACAGGCCCTAGGTTTGATCCCCATTGTGTGTGTGTGTGTGTGTGTGTGTGAGGTCTGAGAAAGTTTGCATGAGAAGGAGGGGGATTTGAATCCAGCTTAGTCCGGTCTTTTTGTCCTGACCTAAGCTCAGCTCGTCCACTGGTGAGTCTAAGGGAGGGGTTGTGTTGCCCAGGGGCTGTCTTTGGTGGCTCTGTAGTTGTTCTCAGCCTTTTTCTCCTTCACTGTTCTGTTCTCCCTTGAAGTATTTGTCCCTCTCCAGCCCCTTCCCCCCACCCTGTGTGCTGGACCCTAGAGTCAGTACTGTGGGGTCTCCTTGGGCTGGTGGTGCTTTGCAGACTTGGGCACCAGGAGCACTTGGCTGGGGTGGCAGCATGGACAAGGACTCAAGCTGTTCCTACCCTCCCTCCACAGTGAGCAGTGGATCTGTCACAGTGAACGCTGACTCCTCCGTACAGTTACTGGCTGAAGAGGCAGTGACACTGGACATGTTGGACCTGGGGGTGAGTATCAGTGGGGAGACTGAGGCTCAAAACTGGCAGGAGCAGTCCAGAGTTTCCTGGCTCCCGGGGAGGGTGCTCAGTGCAAGAGGATCTCGCTCAGCCTTCACCCGGTACTTGCCCCTGCAGACGGCCAGGGCAAATCTGGAGAAGGCGCAGTCGGAACTGTCCGGGGCTGCGGATGAGGCCTCACGAGCAGAGATCCAAATCCGAATCGAAGCCAACGAGGCCCTGGTGAAGGCCCTCGAGTAGGCGGGTGCGTGCCCCTCATCGCCAGGGAAGCAGGCCAGGCCAGGGATGTCCCAGGGGTAGGTGGAGCCAGCTCCCTGGCCCGCCCCTTTTGGGGGTGGTCTGTAAACCTTGGGAGCCGTGCTTCTGCCATTGGCCACCAGGGGGCAGCGCGACGTGATTTATACCTGGTTTTCAGGCTTGCTGACCAGGGGCCTGTCATCTGGTCGGGTCTCCCGACAGCCACCCACTTCCCTGCGCAGTCTGCCTTGGAGACCTGCCTGCTCCAGCCACCTCCACAGAAGAGCTACCCCGGCTCCTATTCCCCTATTAAAGACAAGGAATCCCGACTGGTGTGTACTGTTTTTGTTGGGACCTTCCCTGGCCTCCCCTGGAGCACTCCCTGTGCCCTTTGAATCGGGCTCTCAGGACCTCTTCTGACTGCGTGTCCTGGTCACTCTCAGTAAACCGAGGCTTAGCAGCAGTGTGTGGGGCACAGGGTGCTGACCATGATTACAGTGGGGGAGGACAAAAGTCACATCCAGGGCTGGAGTGGTGGTAAGGGAGTCAAGCCCAGGCTGCTGCACGGCTCCGGGGGGTGTTTGCCAGGTCTTCTGTCCAGGCCTGACACTCTGACCACCCCAGCCTGCCCTGCAGGCCTGGGAAGAGGGGCCCCACCTGCTCCCACAGAGGCCCTTCCTTGAGCCCTGCCCAGCCTGTGGGTGGCCCTCCCCTGGCAGGCAGCCCAGTCCCCAGTGCTGTTGGCACCTCTAGCACCCTCTGTAGGTACCCAGGCCCCTAGCTGGCCCCGAGCGGGGGTGGCTTCAGCACTGCCCCACCCTCTCTGCAACAGTGTAGGGGTGGCTGGGACACTGAGGCATCAGGGATCCCTGTCTTTCTTCCCTCCCCCACCATGACAGAGTGGGGCAGGGAGGGGATTCCAGGGGGGTGAGTGTACAGTCAGGGCTACTGTCTGACTATGTCCCTGGAGCCGGGATGGTGGCAGGGAGGCCACTCTGGGGCCTGTGTCAGCACATAGGCGGCCCACTCTTGTGTCATGGCCCCGTGCAAATGACTCCCCAGAGCCACATGCCAGGGCTGGCAGTGAGTATACTGGACCCTCCAGGGACGCACCATGGAGTGTCCTATCTGAAAAGCATGAAGGGTCAGGAGGCCCAACCTGGGCCTCATCCTGGCCCTGCTCCTTTGGCCCTGAGGGCCAGAGAGCAGCTCCCCTCTTCCCCCCAGTGCAGCCCCCACCCCTCCCATCCCCCATGCCATAGGTGCTATAAATGAGGTAGCTGGGCTTGGCTGAGCCCAGAGGGAGATGTCACTGAGCCTCCTAACCCTGGCTGGGACCAGCACACCCCACAAGGAGGGACCCACCCCTACTCCACAGGTGACAAGGAGTCCACTCCCTGGGGAGATGTGAGTCAGGCTGCAGGGACAGGCTGCAGTCACTGGCCAGTCCTTGGGGAGGAAGCAGAGTGGGGACAGGACAGCTAAGGGTTCCACACGGTGCTGGCGGCTTCTGTTCACACCTGGGGTGAACCACCCAAGGATGGGGGTTTAACGATGGGAAGAAAAGGCAGGGAGCAGGTGCCACAGACCTTTTATTGTTTAGATAGCAAGCATCTCTCCAGGGGCAACCACTCCCAGAGTGACCATGCTCACCAAAAGTAGGGTTCCACTTCTGGTCACCTGAGGTCAGAGTCCAGGTGGTAGGGCCCTCCCCAGCCCAGGGACACCTGCCTACCAGGAGAAGCAGAGGTAAACAGGGCCCCCAACGCTGGGTGGGTTGGCTTCCAGGGCCCTCAGATCCCTCTCCCATGCCTGTGCCTTCCAGAAGCAAGGCAGCCCAGCAGGTCCCTGTGCCCCCCCTCCGACTCCCTGATCTGAGCCTGTCTCCCCCACCTTCGGTTCAGCCTCCTTCCTTGAGCTGCTACAGCTCTCTGGGGCCAGTCCGTTTTCACTTCCTGGAGCACTGTTCTTGGTGTGGCAAGCTGAGTCACCCCTCAAACACCATCCCCTGGGACCTCCTCCCCAGGTCCTCTGGCCTACCCCTGGCCCTACTGGACAGGAGAGTCTGGGTGCACCTGGTGTAGGTTGGGGGGCCAGAGCCTGCATGGAGCTTCAGGGTGGGAGTGGGAGTAGACCCGGAAAGGAATAGCTCTGGGATGGCGATGGAGGTCTCTGGCCAGATAAAGGAAGAAAGCAGATAACTGGGCTGGAGGTAGTGGAAGAGGACCTGGGTCCCCCTCCACCCTGCCCCAGCCAAGGTCATCCTAGGAGGCCCCCACTCAGGAAGAAAGATGCTGGCTGAGTGGGTCAGGCCCAACCCAAAGGCAGGGGTGGCTGTGTGCATGAATTCCTTTGGTGAGGACAATAGCCCCACACCTGCGGGCCCGGAGTGAGTGAGCCTGCTGGGGGCGACTGGCTGGCCCCTACACACGCTAGCTTCTAGTTAATCACTTAAGAAATGGCTTCTGAGGTCACCCTTAGGGGATGCAACAGCTGGCCCGAACACCACTGCCTGGCCGGTGACTTCCGTGTTTTCCTGGATGACGGCCGCTGACTCAGGCCCCCTTGTCGTTTCCCCAAGTGGGCGTCCCCAGGTGGAAACGCCGAGCCTGGACATCCAGGAAAAAAGGGCAGGAATCGAGGCCTGGCACCCCAAAACTCAAGACTATGGGTGCGCCCGAGGTCACCACGAGGTAGGCAGGACTCCTGGGTCAGCGGTATTCAACCCCCCCACACACACACACACGGAGAGAAGTCTGGGGACCAGGTATCCCAGGCCACTGTGTCCTGGGGCCCTGGGCAGCAGGCAGGGGCGGGGGCCAGTGCGTCACCTCCTGCCCGGCACCCCCCTCCCCGCCTGCCCAAACTCCACCCCGAGGGCGGCGCGGATAAAGGCTCGGGGCCGCTCGCTCTGCCCCAGACCGGTCAGGCTACCTCACGCCTGCATCTGCACACGGGCTCGCTCCGGACTGTGGGGACCCAGGACCCGCCGTACCTGGTGAGTGGGGGGCAGGACTTGGGGGGCGGAGCGAGCTCCCCACTCTGTAGACTTTGCGCTGCCCCACTTTTCTTTGTTCTTGGGGCAAACAAGAGTTGGGGTGCCTCGGGCTGGGAAGACCCCTGGGCTGCTTGGTGGGAGGCGCTCCGTACTGCGGCACCGCCCTGGAGACCACAACCCCCGCCCCGCCCCTTGGGCACTCCCCTTTCCCACCAGTGACCTTGAACTAGTTACCGGTTCGTCTCGGTTTTTCCGGCTGGAGACTATGCTAGTCTCCCCAAGAGAAGTGTTCAGTTCCCGAGCAGGGTTCGTTCCAGGCCCTCAACCCCTTGACCTCTTCCCCTGGCCCCCCAGCACGGGCCCCTTCCTCGGGACTGCGGGCAGCGGGCAGCGTCCCGGGCGCGGCCCGCAGAGGGCGCGCCGGCGCTGCTGACTCACCGTGGCCCAGAGAGGCGCGCGCGGACGCAGCCGGGGACGCCGCGTCACGTCACGGCTCGGGAAACGGGCCCGGCCCTGGGGGAACTGGGGGGGCAGGGTCGCGAGGTGGCACCGGCTCGGGAGGGGCGCGCCTGGCCTTGGCCACGTCACCTAGGTGCAGCACCCTGCCCATGGCCTCACGCCCTGCCCAGGCCTCCACACCCACCCACGGGGGAGGGGGGGGGCGGAGGCAGGCTACCGGCTGGCCCGTCCCCCTGGTACCGCTCGGCCACGAGGCGCAGGGTTCACGCTCCCGTTTCCGCCGAAAGTTGTTTCCCGGACGGACGCGGTGGGGAGGCCCCACGACTTCCTGTCCTTTCTGGCGCCGGGAACAATGGCCCGCGCCCCCTCCTCACACCCAGGCCGCTCCCTTGGGGGCCCATGGGGGTGGAGGCCTGTCCTGGAGCCGGGGGTCCCGCGCCCCTCAGGGCCCGCCCGCCCTTTGTTGCGAGCTCCCAGCCTTATGAATGGCTGCAGGCGCGGGCGGGGGCGCGGAGGAGGGCCCGGAGCGGTGCCAGCCCCGCCCTAGCTGCGCTTCCATTGGGCGTCCTGGCGGTAGGGGTGGGGCTAAGGGCAGGCCACACTGCCACGTGGGGCAGCGCCGCGGCCGCTCCCATTGGCCAGGAATCGCGGCCGACTGGGCGTTCAGTGCCCACCTATTGGTCGTTGCGGGGCCAGCGGAGTAAGTAGTGAATGGGAGGGGGCGGCGGCCCCGCCCCTTGGAACGTTGATACATTATAACTTTTTTTTCTTGTTACTTTCACCCCCAGATCCTGAGAGCGGCGGCTGCGGCGGCTGTTGCTAAGGGAGGGGACGCGCAGGGTAGCGCGACCCGAGAGGCAGTGGCACCGAGCGTGTCGTACCAGGGCACCCCCTTCTCGGGACCCTCCCCGCGTCGCCTGCGGGCTGTGAAGGAGCCTCGAGATCAGACCCCACCCCAGAGCAAGCCCCGAGGAGCCGACGCGACCCCGGAGGACCCGTGGGATTCTTTTATTTGCGATTAGCCTTCCACCACTAGGACCTTCTCCAGGGGCCCGCAGGCTGCCCCCATCTCCAAGCGCCTAGAAGGAGGACCCCAGTTTGGGGGAGTCCCGGCCTCAGAAGGCGCGGCAAGAATTGGTGGCGCCCCGCGGACCCCAGCCCCCCAGCGCGTGCCGGGGATGGAGCCGCAGCCCGGCGGGGCCCGGAGCTGCAGGCGCGGGGCCCCGGGCGGCGCCTGCGAACTGGGCCCAGCGGCCGAGACGGCGCCCATAAGCCTAGCCATCCACAGCACCACCGGGACCCGCTACGACCTGTCGGTGCCGCCCGACGAGACGGTGGAGGGGCTGCGCAAGCGGCTGTCCCAGCGCCTCAAAGTGCCCAAGGAGCGCCTGGCGCTGCTCCACAAAGACACGTAGGTACCGCGCGCCGCCCCCGACCTCTTGCGCTCCCCCCACCCCCGCGCCGGGCCGCCCCCTCGGGCCCCTGCCCCCGGGCGGGAACAAAGAGCGCGCCGCGCGGGGAAGCAGGGGGGGCGGCGAGACGGGGGGGGGGCGCCGCGCGCTCTCGGGCGCCCTCTGCTCGGCCTTGCCTGCCTCGACCCCCTTCCCCCGCCCGGGGTCGCCGCACAAAGGCGGGGGCGGGTTCCACCGCTCCCCTTCTCAGGGTGGGGGCAAAGGCAGGCACCCTAGGGTGCACGGGGGTCTTGACTGCGGGGGTGGGGGGGCCATAGCCGCTTCCTCTGCCCGGGTCCTCGCTTGCTTCCGCATCTGCTCGGCGGCCCCCTCTGCGTCTGGCTGTCTTCCCCCCCCACTTGCGTTTCTCTGCCCCGCTTTGTTCTCGCCACCGAGCGCTCCCCATTGCCTCCCCTCCCCCCTGCTATTAAAATCGCCTCCAGGCCGGGGAGTCCTCCCCCTGCGGGCCTCTAGGGACACTCAGTGTCCATCCCCAGCGGAGGGGCCCTGGTGGGGGAGGAGCGGGAGGGGGAGGGTCTCCTTTGTCTGAGCGGCTGCGACCGCTGCCTGCGCCAAAGAGGAAGGAGGGGGAGCCCGGCCCGGCACAGCCTCCCCCCCCCCCAAGGCCTCTCCAAGGCCCGAAGCCCTGAGGCGACCACAAAGGCTAGCCAGGGCAGGAGTTGGGGAATTACAAACAGGGGCTGGCCTGGGGGGCGAAGGGAAGGAAACCACAGGGCACGCGGGGGGCCTGTGAGCCAAAAAACAAAGTGCCTTGTTGAAATGCAGAAGGGGGTGCCCAAGTCTGGAGTTGGATCTTGGACAGGAGGTCTGAGCTGTGAGAATGGGGGCTTCCAGGGCCAAGCAGCCTCCCCCACACAGGGCATAGGATCTGGAATCCGGGAAAGGAGGGGGTGGGAAGGACTCCTGTCTCTTCCCCCTCCCGCACGCACCCCCCCCCCCGCGGCCTCCGCTTCCGCGTCCCTGTGTTGTCTATGCGGCTCACCCTCTTCCTTCCTGCCCCCAGCCGGCTCAGTTCGGGGAAGCTGCTGGAGTTCGGCGTGGGGGATGGCAGTAAGCTGACGTTGGTGCCCACCGTGGAAGCGGGCCTCATGGTAAATGGCTGCTGTGGGGTGGAGTACCCCGGAGGTCCCAGGAAGTCCCACATGCAGGGGCAGGCAAAGCCTGCTCCCTCCCAGGCCATTGTCGGTCACCCGCGCGACCCTCCCATGCATGGACACCCCACCCCCCACTCAGGAGCCTTCTTCCTCTCTTTGTAGTCCCAGGCCTCAAGGCCGGAGCAGTCTGTCATGCAAGCCCTTGAGAGTTTGACAGAGACCCAGGTAAGCCCCAACCACTGCTTCTAACCTGCAACCAAATGCAGGCAAGTGGCCCACCTGGGACCCTACGGGGCAGCCCCCTGGGGGGGCGTACACACTGTGCCTCCAGACACGCAGGAGGGCATGGGGTGCTTGAGGAGGGGAGGGGACTTGTGCCCCACCGTGGTGCCAGCTTGGCCTGGTCACTGGGCTTCCTCTTCCACCCCCCCCACCTGACCTTGAGGCCTCTCTCCCACGGCTGCCATGGAGGGGGAGGGGGACCCAGCGTTCAGAAGCCTGCCTGCCTGCCTATGGGTGACCTTGGCCCAGGAATGGGAGTGCGCACGGGGGCGGGGGCTGCTCCCCAGCCCACCACTCACACCCCCCACCATAGAGCTCCCCTCTCCTCAAAAAAAGCTAACTTCCCCAAACTGACATCTAGAGTTTCTCTTTTTTGGATTTCTGCTCTTGGTTGGGAGGAGGGACTGGCCACGGTGACACGCTTTCCTCCTCCTGTGACCCCACTGTGGGGGGGGAGTCCCTGCACCACCACCCCTCTCCTCCTCTCTCTGGCCTTTGTTCTCTGCCCTGAAAGTGGGAGAGGGCAAATGGGAGGGGCGGGGGCAACCAGCCTGAGGGCCAGGGAGGCCAGGACAGGATGTTAGGAAAATATTTAGTAAGCCTTGCCAGGAGGGAGGTTGGGGCTGGCCCTAACCCGGTTCTTGGTTTTGTTGAAGCCTTTTTTTTCCCTTCTCCTCCTCCTTTTCTTCTCATTTTCTTGGCTGCGGCTGGGCCTTCCTCAGATGCGGGCCCTGGCCACCTCCCAGAAGGGTGACACAGGCCTCAGCAATCCGCCTGCTGCCAGGGTGGGGGAAGCAGGCTGCTGCCCGCCCCAGGAAGGGGTGGGCAGGTTATCGGGCCTCCCCGGCCAGGCCAGGCCAGGCCGCCGCAGGAAACCTGCTTCTCCGGTCACACATTCTATTCTTCCTCCTGCAAAAGGCATTCACCCCCTCCCCAGCCAGCCGGCGTGTAGCATCCTGCTCTTGCCAGGCAGCGCTGGGGGCTGGGGGGAACTGGGTGGTCTGTTCTGAGCTGGGGTATGGGAGAGAGGGAGAGGTCCCTGGATCCTGGTGGGGGGACAGGTGATTTTTGTGGGGCTAGTGAACAGTTCCCTGAGCTGTGGAGGCTACAGTTGGCAGGGGGCCCCCCGAGTGTGTTTGGTTTACATCTTCCCCAGGTACCAGCGTCAGGAGGGAGATGAGGGTGTGCTGGGCGGAGAGACTGTGCTCCCCAGGGTTGCTTCCCCGCCTGGCACCTAGTCATGCCCGCCCATTGGCCCTCCCCAGGGAGGAAGTTGCAGGGTGGAAGAGAGGGGTAGCTGTTCTCAGAAGCTTCCCGGCCTTCTCCCTTGAGGGCATCTCAGGGGTGTGGGGTGCTGTGCAGACTGGGGCTTGGGTGGGACAGCTCTGATCACCTCTTTGCTGCTTGCCCCTCTCCCCATAGCCCCAAACAGAAGGTTACACCAGCCATCCGCTGCCAGTGCAGAGGGGAGGGAGACCTGGGAGGCGGTCGGTAGGCTCTGAGTCATCTACTCTGTCACTTCTCAGAAACCTCCGCCCCCCCCCATCCCATCCCCTGGGGAGAACAAGGCCCTGGCCAGGCCCCCACCCCACCCCCTGGGGAGGGGGGGAGCTCGGTGCAGCCAGGGTCATTTAAAGCCAGGAACCCGCCCACCACGCAGAAGGGCAGGTCTGAGGGTTTGTACCAGCTCTTGAGGCCCCTGGAGACATGGCCCCCTGGGACCTGGTCAGGGCCCCTTTTCCAAAGCCATGTTGCCGCCCCCTTGGCCTCTGCCCCACCCAGGACAGATAAATATTTATCTTGAGAAAGCAAAGGTTAGGGTGGAAGAATTTGTCCAGGAATTTCGCCCACTTGGCGTCTGGGTGATTTAGCTGGGAGGGGGCTTTAGATTCCCCCCCCCCCATATTCACAGGCAGAGAATTTGGGGACCCAAGAGAGTTGGGAAATTGTGTGAGGTGAGAGTTGAGGACAGTGACCGGCCAGGGAGGGCCAGGCCTCCCCGTCTGACCCGCCTCTGTCCCCCACAGCCCCCAGCGGCGCCGGGGCCAGGCCGGGCTGGCGGAGAAGGCTTCCGGAAATACAGATTCATTTTATTTAAGCATCCGTGGCACCGACAGGGACCCCAGAGCCCAGAGAGGGGCGGCGAGAGGCCCCAGGTCACACAATGCGGGAAAGCTGGGCCGGGCCGGGCAGGGGGCACCACAGATGGAACCCCTCGCTGAAGGGCCACTCTCTCTGCAGGTCAGTGACTTCTTGTCTGGCCGCTCACCGTTGACCCTGGCTCTGCGGGTCGGGGACCACATGATGTTCGTGCAGCTGCAGCTTGCAGCCCAGCACGCCCCACTACAGCACCGCCATGTACTGGCTGCTGCAGCTGCTGCGGCCACTGCCACCCGAGGAGACTCCAGCATAGCCACTCCCATGTCCTCACCCTGCCGGCCAGTGTCCAGTGCTGCCCGCATCCCCCCAGTGCCCGCCAGCCCTTCTCCCACATCTGCCTCACCTGTCACAGCTGGCTCCTTCCGATCCCACGCAGCCTCCACCACCTGCCCTGAGGTAAGAATGGGCAAGGTTTGTCCTGAAAGCAGAGGCGGCAGCCTTTGAGAGGGGTGGGGCACTGTGCCCCAGATATGTGCCTTGTATCAAGTGCTGTCCCCTGAATCAGGGCTGAGAGTTTATCTGTGGACCTTGCACCAATGGGTCAGCCCTCACCCTGGGTTTGTGGGTTATCCTGTGACCCTGCACAAGGGAATTCATAAATTGCCAGCAGGGTGGGCGGTGCATTTACTCCCGGTCATTTCTGGTCCTTGGGCTGATGGGTGATAACCCTGATCCTAGGCTTAGAGGTTATCTCTAGGCCCTAGGCTAGACCCTGGACTGGGGGTCATTCCTAGACCCTGACCCTGAATCCAGCTCTCACAAGCTCCCCTCTTTAGCAGGTGGATTGCTCCCCCCCTGCCAGCAGCAGCGTCAGCCCCGGAGCCAGCACCCCTTCTACCCCTGGGAACAGCCCTAGTCCCCGCTCCCGAAAACCCGGCGCTGTCATCGAGAGCTTCGTAAACCATGCCCCAGGGGTCTTCTCAGGGACCTTCTCTGGTAGGTGTCACAGTCCAGGAATGATCCTACCTATCCTGTAACCCTGTGCACACTTGGCTCTGTGTTGACCTGTTTGCGTGTGTGTGTCCCGCCCTGGGGGTCCCACCTGCACCACTCTGCCAGACTGTGTACACTTCTGACTCCTGGTGCCTGCTCTGCTCTATACCTGCTCCCCTGGATGGGCTGTCCTCAAGCTCTCATCCCCTCTGCCCACAGGCACGCTGCACCCAAACTGTCAGGACAGTAGCGGGCGGCCACGCCGAGACATTGGCACGATCCTCCAGATCCTCAATGACCTCCTGAGCGCCACGAGGCACTACCAGGGCATGCCCCCCTCTCTGACCCAGCTCCGCTGCCACGCCCAGTGCTCACCCGCCTCACCAGCCCCCGACTTCACCCCCAAAACTACCTCCTGCGAGAAGCTAGCGGCCGCACCCCCGGCCTCCCTGCTGCAAGGCCAGAGCCAGATACGCATGTGCAAGCCCCCTGGTGAGTGGCCTTCCTCCAGGATCCCTTTTCCCCACCCATCCGCCTGTCTCCTCAAGGCTTCTCTGTGTGCAATGTGGGCATCAAAGCAGCTGACCCACTGGGGAATGGCAGCTGTGGCTCCCCCCAAAAGGCACAGGCTGGGAGAGAAGGAGGCATGTGTGTGTCTGGTCACAAAGTATCCTTGTGAGCTCCTGAGGGGGCTCCAGCCCCACTTCCTCTTTGCCTCCCCCAGGGACCATCTCCAGATGGCATTGGGCACCTCCATGAATGACCAAGTCAGTTCTGGCAGGAGAGGCAGAGCTGGCAGGGTCCCCCGGCATCATGAGGACTTGGGAGACTAAGGAAGCCTCCCCAGCATTTCCCTAGTTACCCTCCCCACCCAGAGGCTAGTGGGACACTGGTCACTGTTTGGCTAACAGGCATCCCCAGCCATTCAACACTACAACCTCCATTGCCTGGCTCATAAAAGCAGGAAACTGAGGCCCAGGTCCTGGGGCTTTCTTGGGGCATATCCCTTGTAGGACTCTGAAAAGGATAAGGTGGATCCACCCTACCCCACCCTCCATAGTTCACAGCCCAGTGAATAAAGAAATACAATGAAGCCAGGTGGGGTGACACATGCCTATAATCTCAGCTCTGGGGAGGCTGAGGTATGATGGCTGAGTGTTCAAGGCCAAACTGAAGTATGTAGACTCCGTTTCAAAAAAATGCAATTCATGGAAGCCAAGCGTGGTAGCCCATGCTTGTGATTCATCCCAGCAGTTGAGGAAGCTGAGACAGGAGGATTGCAAGTTTGAAGCCCAGCCTGAGCAATTAGCAAGACCCTATCTCAAAATTAAAAAAGGGCTGGGAGATAACGCAATTCAAAGGTCAGGGTCAATACTCTGTACTACAGAATAGGACAAGAAATGAGTATTAATAATCCACCCAAGGGTGACCTCGGAAGATGGAGATGCTTGCTGGGGAAGAGGTCCTCTCCTGTTTCCCAGGGCTCAGGTCTCTCCCAGTGGAGGCCCTGGGGAATCACGAGTCATTGTCTCCTCCTTTGCAGGGGACCGGCTGCGTCAGACCGAGAACAGGGCCACGCGCTGCAAGGTGGAGCGACTTCAGCTCTTACTGCAGCAGAAGCGCCTGCGCAGGAAGGCCCGGCGGGACGCCCGAGGCCCCTACCACTGGCCACCCAGCCGCAAGGCTGGCCGCAGCGACAGCAGTAGCAGCGGGGGAGGCAGCAGCCCCAGTGAGGCCTCCGGCCTGGGCCTTGACTTCGAGGACTCAGTTTGGAAGCCAGAAGTGAACCCTGACCTCCAGTCTGAGTTCGTGGTGGCTTAGGATCCGGCACACTCGCCCTTGCTGAAGCTTCAGGGTGGACATGCACCGAGCTGGGTTGCCACTGCCACCCAGACATCGCACACGGCCCGGTGCCACGGCCCAGCTCTGGAGGGGAGGTGGTCACCTCCCTCCTGACCCACCCACCAGCCTTTTTCTTTTTAAAATTTTTATCGTGGTGGTACCTCCTGCGTCCCCCTCCCACCCCTTCGTCTCTGCCAGCGATGCTAGGTCCTTCCCTCCCACCTTCCCCAGCTCCAATATGTAGCAGGCTGTCCAGATGGCAGGCAGGAGGAGGAAGGAGGCCAGGAAGCCGCCCCTGCCCCTCTTCCGCTCTGCCCTCGCCCCTCCCGCCCTCTGCCTCCCCCCTCCCATTCAGGTTTTAAGTCAAAAATGTAGATGCCTCATTATGCACTTTACAGATGAGGGGAGGGGGCTTCGGAGAGAAAACTCCATCCCACCCTCCTACTGCAGGCTCTGGCCTCCACCCCGGGCCAGCAGGACCCGAATGTCACCGGGAGTGAAGCCACAGGAGGGGACTGTTTTCCACATCTGTCCTTTTCTTGGTCTCTCTTTTTTTTATTCCTTGTGAAGCCCTGTTCAGCAGTCTGGCCCAGGGCTTGGGGAGGGGGGCTGCCTTGGGCACAGGCAAGGGGCCTGGGGACCTTTTCCTGCCAAAAATGGAAACAGGGACCAGCCCGCGCCCAACCTCTCCAGTCAGCCGGCCACAACTGTGCCCTTTTTCTCCACTCCCTCTGCCCCTTGCACCCCATTTCCCTGACCTCTTCCCTGAGTTTGGGGACTATTTATAGACTTAACTTTCTGACTGAGCCAATATTGGTTGGGAATGGCTTGAAAACCAGGGAGAGAAATGGTAGGGGCCTGGGGAGTTGCCCCCCCCCACCCCTTCCTCCTTCCAGCCCAGCCTGAGGGATATGGGGTGTGGACTGTCTGGGGATTCTCCAGAGCCAGATGGGGAGGGGGGTGCTGAGCTGTGAACGCCCCAAGGGGCTGCTGTGTAGCATTAAGCCCCCCTGGGGGTCCGCTGCTGGTCTTATTTAGGACCCTCCCCACTCAGTGCCCAAGCCCCGGGGGATCTTGGGCCCCAGGGACAGAGGGAGAGATCCCCTTACTGGGGCCTTTTCAGTGGGGGTGGAGTTCATTTTTTTTCCTCCATTCACTTTTTTTTGGTGCTGGGGATCAAACTCGGAACCTTGCGCGGCAGGCGCCAGAACCACTGAGCTAAATCTCCGGCCACCCTTTTTTTTTTGATGGGAAGTTCGGGCCTCGCCCACCCCCACCTGTCAGTCTTACCCGGCCCCACCTGTGGCCCTCTCTCCCTTTGTTCTTGTAGGTGAGCCCCAAGTCCTTCCTGCCCTCGTCCTGTGTTTAAAGTTAAATGGTTTCAGAAGTGAACATCATGTGTTAACTGTAGTTGTAAAATTTTTTGTGGAGGGTGGGAGGGTAGGGAGGGTCCCAGATGGTAGAGGTCAAGGATTTGGTTTTTTTATTTTTTGTTTTTTTGGGTTTTTTTCCAAAAAAAAAAAAAAAAAAGAAAAAAAGGGGGGTGCATTTGTTTTTTGAAGAACCGTCTTGTATACCTATTTAAATGTGTGTTCTGTTCTGTTTTTTAACGATTTTTAAATAATGCCTGTGCCTCCGCGGTTCTGAGGGTGGAGACCCCAAACAGAACCGGCCAGAAGTTCTCTACCCTCCCTCTCAGGGACCCCCAAGAAAGCATTACACACTGCCCTCCCGGGTCGGGCTGTGGGGGTCCTGGCACCGCGCGAGTATGCTGTATGAAAATTGAAAAAAAAAAAAAAAGCCCTACACACATCTTGATTTCCAGTAATAAACAAAATAAAACACAAGTGTGTCGCCTGCTCTGCCCTGGGAGGGGGTTGTCTCGGCCACTATGGCCTGGGGTGTAAGGAGGGGGGCAGTGGCCAGGTCTCTAGGGCTTCTCACGCCCCCTCTCTGGTTGGGGGTGGGCAGGAAGCTGCAGGGGTGGAGGGAGGAGGGTGGGGCGCCCACTTCCTGGCACTGGAGGCCGGAAGCCCTCAGGGTGTGGGGTGTGGGTCTGCCCTCTTGTTGCACAGCCTGGGCAGGACCCACCCGCACCCGCTTTCCATTCCCGGCTCTGATGTGGGCTGTGGGGATGGGAACTTGGAAGTCAATATCCGGGGAGACCTGGTCCTTTGCTTTTATGTCACAAGAGTAGGAGGTGCCCCCAGCCCTGTGAAACACTCCCAAAGTTGTTCTTCCTGGAGTCTCAGTTTTATCACAGGGCCAACTACCAGCTTAGGCCCCAGGAGCGCAGACCTCCTGAGGTCCGGCCCAAGGCCTCAGGGTGACCTTGAGGCCCTCCAGCCTCACCCAGCCACAATGACCTCTGGGTGCCTCTGGCCACACCCTCATGCTACATTCCAGCCCTTAAATTCACCACACACAACCTCCAGGTCTTTGCCCCACCCCTTCCCTATGGAAACGCTTGTCTTCCTCCTCTCCCAAGTCCCTGGTCTATCTGGGGACCCCAGCCCTGCCAGCCTGGGGCTCTCTAAGGGCCCAGCCGGGGTCCTCTCTAGGGGACCCCACCTTCAGTGGAGTTCAGTGGGCACACAGAACAATCATCCCACTACTTAATCTCCTCTTAAGTGTATTTCTTCATTTAACAAGCAATGCAACCTAAGAAAAGTAATTATACTCCCACTTCATAGACAGGAAAACCAAGTCTCAGAAATACCACTTGCCTGGAGGATTAGGGTGTCTATGTGACCCCATACACACCCTCAGCTGATTCCTAATGGTTCAAGCCTCGGCCTTCCTTAGTAGCCCCCCAAGGGACGTCAGAGGAAAGGGGCAGTTCCCTTTGAGGGATGGTCTGGGACATCTTCCTGAGGGCCTTCTGCCCCTCCCACCGCCCAGTCATCCTCAAATCATCCCACGACCACGGGAGGAAGGCGACCACGGGAGGAAGGCGGATGCCTGGTCAGGCCTCAAGGTCGTGGGCGCAAATGGCCCCTCCGGTTGGAGACTCTTGGGAGTGGGGAGAGAGGTTCAGGTGAAACCCGCAGTCCCCGCCCCCGGGTCAAGGCTGAGCGATCCCTGACCTCAGTCACCACCTCCTTGAGTCCAGGGCGGGGTGGGGAAGAGGAAGGAGGATGTGATAGAAGCGCCTGCTGAATCACAGTGCAGGCCCGGAACAGATACCTTGCTGTCCACAGCCCCCACTCGAGCCTGGGAGTCCCCGGGGTTCAAGGACGGGCTCGGGACTGGGGAAACGCGCGGGATGGGGTGGGAGATCAGACCGGGACTGTGCGGGGGAGGCTGAGGAATACAAAGGCTGGGGGTGTCGGATCGGTCATGGCCTGGCCCGGGGGTCCTAGAAGGACACAGCGAGCCCCACTCTCAGTCCTCTCTCTACAGCCTGCGCATCCATACGACCGGCCCACACCTGTCCTGGGAGTCTCACAGGCGGAGTAGGTGGAGGCCACGTGTTGAGCCAGAGGCACGGAAAGGTACACTGAGGCACAGGCTAGCCAAGAGGCTGCTGGGATCGCAGGGAGTGGGATTGTCCTTGCACCATTTCTTCATCAACCCCCCTCATTGAGAAAAAGCTGAATGGGAGGCGGCGGGCCCCCGGAAACCAGCGGAGATGGAAACGCGGTTTCCAGGGAAACGCGCCGCGAAAGGAGCCTGACGTCAGCGCAGAGAGGGCGTCCCTTCGCCCCCGTCTGCACGTCGGGAGCCCGGCCACGCCCATCCAAGGGGACGTCTCATTGGTGGATGAGCCGTTTGCTTATCTGTAAGCACCAATAGAATCGCAAGGAGGCCAACTGTAGGCGGGACTTCAGCCTGGCTAGGACGAGTGCGCAAGCGCAAGTGTAGAGGCGCTGGGGCCTCTTCAGTCTCCTCGCGCGTCTGCAAGCTTGGGGGCGGGAGACGCAGCAAAGGCCTGACGGTTGCGGCGGGGCTTGGACGGAAGAGGGGGTGTACCTGGGGGCGCCGCACGTGGACCCCCGGCACGGGCGCGCTCACGTGCACTTTGTTACGCCCAGGCATTTCCTGCCGCACCCCCTCCTCGCGCGTGCCTGACCCCTGCCCACCCCTCTTGCAGCTCCCTGGGTCAAGGAGGGGAGAACACCTGGAAAAGGGACTTTGGGGCTGAGGTTTTGCCAGAGAAATACGAGTTTACCAGGTGTAGGAAGACAGGGTCCTGCAAATAGGGGGCACGGCCTGAAAAAATGAAAGGGGGTGCATTTGGGGAGCAGCAGAGAAATCAAGTTAGTGGGGGAAAAGACGGGATGAAAAGACTGTCCCGCAAGACTCCAGAGGGATGATGAGGGGGGGGGGGAGGCGTCGCAGAGATCAGAATATCCAGAGGCGGCTGGGCACTTGGCAGGAGCAGGAGATTTGTGGGAGTTGGAGGCAGCGAAGGTAGGACTGTGGTTTTCATGGCTGAAGTTACAGCTCACAGGGAGGCGGTTGGCAAAGACTGGCAGGGTTGGAGGCTGGGAAAGGGGTGGAAGGTTGAACGCAGCCGTGCGTGGTGGTGCAGGCCTGTCATCCCAGCACTCTGGGGGCCTGAGGAGAATTCCGAGTTGGAGTGAAGTCTGGGTAACTTAGAAACTTCGTCTAAGACCCTGCCTCAAAGTAAAAAAAATAGTGCAAAGGCACTGAGTTCAATACCTAGTATTGCAAAATAAAAGGGAGGAAGGGCCGAGCTGGCCAAGCAGAACAGTGCCTGCCAAGGCATGAAGGACACGCAACTTCAGCCAAGAGGGTGACCTCGAAGGTGGGCAATGCTTCAGGGTGACAGCACGACCATGGGAGGGTGGAAGGTCACTGGGGTCAGGGCTTTCTGCCAGAGGCTGCAGTCTCCTGGGGGTGGCCAGGAGGGCACCTGGAGCTGGCTGCAATGTTTGGAGATGCCAAAGCCAGGAGGTGATTTGTGTGGGCAGCCAGGGGGAGCCAGGCAGCTGGTCAGAAACCAAGGGAGCCCGGACGGGGCCTGGTGGGACCCCGCCCTCCTCTGCGGGGCCCTGGGAACGGGCGTTCACCGAGCTGAGGCTGGGGAGGCCCCCTCACCGGCGTTGGGGCCCTTTCCAGGAGTCCAGCTCCACCCACGGCGGCCCAGCCCCGGGAGGGCAGAGAGCTGGCCATCTCTGGTGTCACTGGGCACAGGTGAGCAGCAGGTGGGGGAAGGAGCCTGTCACCTGGGGCCCTCGGAGCCTGGCCAGCTGCCTCTGGCTCCCTCCCCCGTCCGGTTGTCTCCGCCTCCCGCGTCTCTTTCTGTCTTCCCCAGACTCTCAGGCCTCCTCTATTTCTGTCTCCGTCTCCATCCCCCTCTATTTTCGTCCCTTCTCCGGCCGGCGTCCCTCCCCCACTTCCGCCCCCTCTCTGGGTCTCCTCCCTTCTCACCCCTGCACGCATTCCAGCGCCTCCCCCGCCTCGCCGTCCCCCGGGCCAGCTGCTGCCTGGTGCCCAAGACCGAGAGAGTGGGCTCTGGCCCGGGTCAGAGGTCCGGCAGCTGGAGCAGGCGGGGACGGCGAGGGCACCCCGACCAATCCCTCTGGAATGTGGGCAGGGAGGCGGTCACCCTACAAGCAGCTAGAGACAGCTGTCTGAACTGCGTTGCGCACGTCGCACACCCAGGACGCTACCCACACTCAGCCCTCTGGGAAAAGGAACAAAACCCCAGAAACAGTCCCACACAGGGCCCAGGAGCCAGGAGTCACCCCTCAACAGTCCATGGGTATTTACCGAGTGCCAGGCTGCCAGATACACAGCACCCTACACACACCCCAAAAACCTACCCCCAACCTACATTTTGGTGGGGTTTTTGTTTTGTTTTGTGATGCCATGCCAGGGCTATATCACACCCAGGCTTTTATTTGTTCATTTTGAAACAGGGTCTGTAAATTGCTAAGTAGCCCAGTCTGAGTAAAAATTTGAGATCCTCCTGCGACAGCCTCCCCGGAGTGCTAGGATTACAAGCATTTGTCCCCACACCTGCTTCCAGTTGTATAATTTGGTTCCTCCCCAAACCCTAATCAAAGGTATGACCCTCAAAAGGAAAGGCAGTGAGCCAGGTATAGTGGCCCATACCTGTGATCCAGCACTTGGGAGGCTGAGGCAGGAGGATCACTGTGAGTTCAAGGCCAGCCTGGACCACATAGCAAGACCGAATATCAAAAAAACAAAAGACCGAGTTTGATTCCCGGTACCAAAAAAAAAAGAAAGAAAAGAAAAGGTAGCCTCAATGTAACCCTGGCCCAAGACCTCCCTTAATCAAATTCCAGGCCTAGAAATCACACCCAACAGCCAGCACCGAAACACAACACCCCGGAAGCAAGGCAGTGCCCTCTCCCATCATGCCCTTGGGGCAGTTGGGAGTGAAGGCTGGAAGGCCACCAGCCACAAGCAGTCAGTCCGCATACCCTCCAGCAGTTAGAACCCAGCTCCCTGGCCTGGGCAGGAAATAGGCAGAAGATGGGTGAGGGTCCCAGACAGGCCTTACTTTACTCCACTCTTTTGGTTGAGGTTGGACATACAAATCAATGTGACAATTCTCTGCAGTCACATCAAGAAAGAAGACCCAGGGCCGGGGATTTAGCTCAGTGGTTCTGCTGCCTGCCTCAAAAACACAAGGACCTGAATTTGATCCCCAGTACCAAAAAAAACAGAAAGAAAGAAGACTCATTCATCACAGCACTCTGGGAAGCTGAGGCAGGAGGATCAAAAGCTGGAGCCCTGCCTGGGCAATTTAGAGATTTAGTGAGACCCTGTCTCAAAAAGTAAAAATGACCCTGGGGTTTAGCTCAGTGGTTTCGCCGCCTGCTGCGCAAGCGCAAGGACCCGAGTTCGATCCCCGGTACCAAAAAAATTTTAAAAAGTAAAAATGGCTGGGGATGAAGCTCAGTATGAAGGCTCTGGGTTCCCAGTATTTTAAAAACAAAACAAAAAGTAGGTGTGTCCTCAACCCTCCCACAGGTGAGCCACCTGGGCAGGGGCTCTGGCATCTCGTGATGTTGAATGTGTGCCGTGTGCACACTTGCAAGTCAGTGCACATCCCTGCCCTGCATGTTCACCTTGGCTGCGTCACCACGCTCCTGTGCCTCTGTGGAAAGTGTTACTTTCCTGGTCCCTGCGGGGTCAAGAACAAGAGATCGAGCTTATGTGTGACTCCAGCAGCAGCAGGCCTGGCCTGGCGGTCCTGTGTCCCCTGGCTGTCATTCCAGTCTGTCTGGTGTGCATTGCCCATGGGGCTCCTGGAGGCTCTGCAGGATGGGTTTGTGTGACTTTGTGGGCGCCCACCGGGTGCATTGCAGACAGAGGTGGTTGTGCACTCACTCGAGTGCATGTGTGTGTGCCATCACTTGTCACAGGGTGTGTGTGTGTTGTACTGGGGCCTCCCCCTGTTGGCTCAAGGCCTGGCCCCTGGGCTGCTGGGCCATCCTGGCTCCTGCAGAAGTTCAGGCGCCTCAGCCTGTGCATTCCTGGGCTGTGACTCAGGCCTGTGGAGAGGGGGTGACTCACTGAGAGCTCAGGCCCTGCCCCAGCCCTGGGGCCCACCCCCTTTCCTGCCCCGGCTGCAGACCCCATCCTAGGAACGGGGCACAGCCCCTCTGCCTTTCCTGGGGTGCAGGCAGGTGAAGCAGGCACCTGGGGAGCCAAGCGAACCCTTGGTGCAGGTAGGAGCTAGGGGAGGGGCAGTTTAACCCTTCCCGGTCTGCTCTCTGCTTCCTGAAATTCTTCGAGGCCCCGGCTGCCTCTGACACACAGCACGCGTGCCCACCCAGGGACATGACTCATGCCACCAGGCATGGGCACATATGCTCTGTGGGTCCCGGCCCACCCGAGTCACATGCACCCAGCTCTGTCCTCGGGTGCTCCCAAATCCACATGCCGGGTTCTGTGCACTTTCAGGCCCCAGCACCAGTCCCTGAAGGTTCTTGAAGAGATTCCCTTTCGTGCCCCGTGCAAGCCAGTGAGCGCATCCTTGCACACACACAGGGTTCCGTGCACCTGCACACAGCCCCGCTTTTCAGTCCACACAACCATGCGTTCAGCTGGGTGTGAGAGTGCATACTTTATCCCAGCACTCTGGGAGGCTGAGGCAGACGGATCACAAATTCGAGTCCAGCCTGGACAACTTAGCAACTTAGTGAGACCCTGTCTCAAAATTAAAAAAAAAAAAGAGGGATGTAGTTCAGTGCAAAGGCCCTAGGTTCAGACCCCAGTATCGCCCCCCCCCCAAAGTCCCTAGCAATCCTGGTTTCTCCGTCTGGGTGCCCACGAGTCGCCTGCCCACGGGCGTACAAGGGCGCACACCTGGCAGCTCGCACACAGAGTCAGCACCCCCCCACCCTGGCTCTGGGCCGCGCGGATTGGAGCCAGCTGGGCGGGCTGCTGTCCCTGCCAGGACGGTCCCATTTCCGCGCCCCCGCCGGGCGCCGCCAGGTGCATTGGCCAGGAGGGGGCGGTAATTACGCGGCCCCGGGGTGCCCCCCCACGCGCCTTTCATCCCGGGCCACGCCCGGCCCCGGCCCAGACGCTCATTACCGCCTCCCGCCCGGTCATTAGCCAGGGTCGGAGGAGGCCCGGGCCGTCCCGCGTGCCTGGCCCCGCGGGGAGGGTGGAGTGGGCGGTGAGGGAGCCAGGTGGCCCCGCCCATCCCCATGACAACGTCCTGCGGGGGTGGGGGTGGGAGGATAGGAGGGCGGAGCTTCAGCACAGGATGTAGAGGGCTCCCCAACACTGGGACTCAGAGGCCCACTCCCGCCGGGAGACATCGGACTGGGGAGCTGGAGGATTTGCGAAAGAGCATAGGGTGGCGTCTGTCATCCCCGCATTCCTGTTGGCTGAGGCAGGAGGATCGCAAGTTGGACCCCATCGGGATAATTTAGCGATTTAGTAAAACACTCCCCATCTCAAAATTAAGATTAAAAGGGCTCTGAAACTGGGCGTGACGGTGCGCACCTGTAATCCCAGCACTCAGGAGGCGGGAAGCAGGAGGATCACCTGCGAGTTTGAGACCATCTTGGGCTACATAGTGAGACCCTGTCTCAAAAAAGCTATAAAATAAAAATAATAAAACTGAAAAGGGTTCAGGTGGCCTGGGGATTTAGCTCAGTGGCGCCGCGTCTGCCTCGCAAGCGCAAGGTCCTGAGTTCGATCCCCGGAACCACAAAAGGAAAAAAAAAAAAAAAGGGTTGAGTTCAGGGTCCAAAGGCCCTGGGTTCAATCTCCAGTACCAAAAGGAGGGGAGTGATGTGGGGTGGGAGCTCAGAGATGGAGAGATACAGGAGTAGGGAGAGGCAGAGAGGAGAGACAGATCAGGATACCTGCATGCCAGTGGGAAACCCCGGCGGCCAGGGGCAGACGTTGATCATCTGCTCCTGAATAGCACCCCCTACCGCCCCCACTGGATTATTACTCCCCCGCCACCCTCGGACACTGGCCCAGGGCGGGCAGGGGGCAGCGAGCGAGGATCGAGGGAGCCAGGGATGGCTGAAGGCTGGGGCGCCAGGAGGCCCCAGTCTCCCACGCTGGCCCAGACAGCTGGCTGCCACACCGAGGGGCGGGTGCAGAGCCCGGGCGCAGGTCCCAAAGGCGTCAGCCCGGGCGACTGCGAGGCCGGGGCGCCCCCTCGTGTCCACTGGGGGCAGCGCACCCGGCCGAAGTCCTGGTGATGCAGGGGCGGCAGGGCGGGGGGGTGAGAGGAAAAGGAGGTGTTCCAAGCACCCTGCTTCGGGGACAAGGTCGTGGTGACACAGCCGAGTCACAGGTACACACAGACTCAACCTCGGGGACACAAGTGCGGAGACAGGTGCATAATCTGAGACACCACTACACAGGTGAGCTGCGTGCTGGGCCGGACACCCCCGGCATCCACACTACTGGAGACCCGGATGGCCTTGGGGACTTGGAGCCCCGCACACAGGAACAGCTGGTTGATTGCTGGCGGAATGAATGAATGAACTAGAATAAACTCAGACTCAGCTCTTTACAAAACCAGGAAGAGGCGGAAACTTGGAATCGGAGAAGAGGAGGGGGTCGAGAATGACCTGAGGAGCTAGGAACTCAGGGAGCCCCCACCCCACTTAGCCCTGGTCTTCTCCGGGGCAAGCAGCTCCCAGCCTGGTACAGGTCGGAAAGGGAGGGGGTCAGGGCTGCTCCTGCGTTGGGCACAGCCTTGGCCTAGGGCACCCGGGGTGGGTGGCTGGGCCCCTGCTGCACGGTGAGGGGAGCTGAGTGCTGATGTCGCTCTGATCCTTTTAATAACCGCCCTGCATGAGTGGCTGACACAGCAGAAGGCTGACGCTGACGCTGACGGAGAGAAGGGCTGCGGTGTGGAGGGTGAGATGTAGAGGGGTGGCTGTGACGCATGCGGCTACTGCCTGGGGGTGGTGAGGGGTCCTTGAGCGATCAGAGTCCTGGCGACCGTGGTGTCAGTGCAGATAGCTGGGTCACCTCGACCCATTTCAGGGTCAGAGTCAGTTTGAGGCCTGAAGTGGGGCCAAGACTTCTCAGCATAGTGAGAAGGTGCCCCTGATCTGCCTGTAGAGGGTCTGCCCTCTAGGGCTTTCCGGGGCGGAGCTGTGGTGTGGGTCTCAGGTGTGAGTGGACAGGGAAGGGTCCACATTCAATTCCTGCACTAGGGCCAGGAGGGCAGCATGAACTCCAGTGGGTGTGGAAGGGGTCCCTAGAGGTCTTGGGGCTCTTCCCAGGAGCAGCTTTAAGGGTATGGGTCCTTGTCAATCTGTCCTCATCTTAATCACAGAGCTCTTGGGACCCCCAGAACCAGGTTAAGAGGGGCCGCCTCCCCAAAGACAAGAAATGGCATGGTGGACCTGGCCCTGCGCCTGCCCTCAGTGGGTAATCAGTGGGGTGTGGGTGTGCAGATGGCTGGGCCACGTGGCAGGCACAGAGGCTGAGGGCTGAGCTGATGTCCGGTGAAGTTGGTAAGCCACACACCCAGGTGGGTGTCAGCCTGCTGTCTAAAGTCAGGACACACAGTGTCCAGCGAGATGAATGTTGGGGTGTAGTGATGCACTTACAAGAGCGGGGACCAAGTTAGGGTTTGGCTGGAAGTATGGGTGCAGGTTGGGGTTTGGAGGCAAACTCGGTTGGAAGTTGAGGGGCTCAAAAATCTTGGGAAGGAGGAAGGATTGGGATTGTGAAGAATATTGGGGTTGAGATGCCCACGAATGAACCCTTTCGGTGTTGGGGTTTGGGTGGGCCTTGGGATTGGTTGCATGAAGTCGCATATCCAGGAACATCTGGGTTCTGGGAGTCCTGGGGTGTCATGGAAGCCGGCAAACTATCAGGATTGATATAGTGATTGATTCAGACGAAGTGTGGTTGTCTGTGAGCTGGGAATGGAGATCTGAGTGGAGCCCATATGTTTGAGTTCAAGCAAAGCCCCATCCAGGCAGGACACCCTAGCAAACACTGGACCCAAGCCCTTTGTTCTCCGCCGCAGGCCAGGGGGGGAGCACACTGAAGTGGGTCAGCCACGCCCCTGCCACGCCCCCGCGCACGCGGGCGGGGGACTGCGGACTGGAAACATCCAGACCAATCAGAGCACCCAGCGCCAGCGCACGGGAAGGGGCGTGATGTCGATAGGCCCGGCCCCCCAGCTCATGAATATGAGGTACGACCGCTTCCTGCGGCTCCTTGGATTGGCCCTCGTGGCGCAGGGGGCGGGCGTAGCGGGCGGGGCCCGGCGGCGGTGTATATCAGACACAGCTCCGGGCGCCCCCCCCTTCACTCGCGCGTTAGGAGGCTCGGGTCGGTGTGCCGTGCCGTCTTCCCGCCCGCGTCAGGGACCTGCCCGACTCAGCGGTGAGGGCCCTGGCGGCACCGGCTCCGAGGGTCCCAGGGCGGTGGGCGGCCTTAGGCGCCCAGGCGAGGCGGGGCCGCAACGGCACGCCCCTGGGAGGGGGCGGTGCCAGGGCGGGCCCAGGGTTGGAGTCCGCCCCCCCGGCGGCGAGGGACAGCGGGAGACCGGGCTGAGCGGCGGCCGGAGGGTGTACTTTCCCCATTCAGGCCCGGGACGCCGGTTTGGCGGGCGCTGTCGCAAAATGGCGGCGGCGATCTCGAGGCTTCGGTGGCGAAATGGCGGGAGCTCCGAATGCCCGGATGGAGTGGCGCAGGCCGCGCGTCCGGCGCATGCGCGCGGGGGGCGGGGCTCCAGGGCCGGCTCTCAGGCTGCGGTTCCCGGTTATGCGCGTCCTGTTGCCACGCTCCCTGAGCCTCGGCTTCCCATCTTGCTATCGGGATAGCACGTGGGGAAGATCGGCCCCGCCAGACTCGGCCTCAAGCGTTCAGTCCTAGTTCATGTTCCCCTCTGACTCCCAAGTGTAGCTCTGAGGTGGCCCAGCCGTCCAGCAAGACCGCCAAATTGTGTGGACCGTGGTCGTCCTAGCCAGTAAACGCTTTGTCCAAGTCAGGAGCCCCCCCCCCCGCCTTGGGTAATCACGTTCCAAATGCCAGGTTCCCCGAGTAGGGGGCACCATGGGCATCTCAACCTCTGAGGTGTGCCCCTCCCTAGACCCTGTCAGAAAGTGGGCTTCTGGCCCGAGGTAGCACCCCAGGACTGGGCACCCTCCTTGACAACACCCCCGAGGTACTTAACAGTGATGTCGAAAGTATCTCCTGAAACTTAAGCCTATAACCCAAACTGCCTGGGCAATTTAGAAAAACCTTGTCCCCCCTCCCCAAATTTAAAAGCTGGGTATGGTGGCACATGCCTGTAACCCCAGCATTTGGGAGCCTGAGGCAGAAAGATCTCTGAGTTCTAGGTCAGCCTACACTACATAGCAAAACCATGTCTGAAAAGAGCCAAGAATGGTGGTGCATGTCTGTAATCCCAGCACTCGGGAGGCTGAGGCAGGAGGATCACCACAGGTTCAAGGCCAACCTGGACAACATAGCAAGGCCCTGTCTCAAAAAATAAAAGGCTAGTAGAGGGTCCCTGGTTGGATCTCCAATACCACACACACACAAAGCACCCTGTGGTCTTTTCCAGCGTCATGTAGACATCTGATGGTTAGGTAGGAGATCACCTCGCTATTATAAAAAGGGGACATGTATTAAGGCTTAGTGAAGCAGCGTGAGGCAGGAGGATCATTGCAAGTTGCAGGTGAACGTGAGGTATATAATGAGACCCTCCCTGTCTCATAAAACCAACCAAAAAATAGTCGTAGTGAAGTATGATAGCACAGGTTTGTAATCCCAGCACTCAGGAGGCTGAATCAAGATTGAGAATTTGAGCTTAGCCTAGGTGATTAGCAAGACGGTGTCTCAGAAATGGCAAGGCCGGGGATTTAGCTCAGTGGTTCCGCTGCCAGTCTTGAAAGCGCAAGGTCCTGAGTTCGATCCCTGGTACCAAAAAAAAGGTTAAAGTGAAAAGTGGCTGAGTGTGTAGGTCAGTGCAAAGGCCCTGGGGTCACATACCAGTACCACAAAAAATTCCTACCTGTAGGTTTGAGATGCATTAAAAGAGCATTGGTGGGCCAGAGATTTAGTTCAGTGGTTCTGGCCCCTGCCTCGAAAGCACAAGGTCCTGAGTTCGATCCCCGGTACCAAAAAAAAGAGCATTGGGATTAGTCCTTGGTTTTTCCCAGAAATAATTTATCACGTGTAAAATAGGAAGGGAGATGGTGAGAGCTTTGTGCTCCTTAACAGGTTCCTATGGCTCTCCCCCTGTGTGGCTGGTACCACTGGTGTAGAAGTGGGGCAGTCACGCATGGGACAGTTGGGCATGTTCTGCTAATTTGAGCTGCCTGGCATCAAGACATAGGAGTTGTGGCCCCCTTGTGAACGCATTAAGAGCTCCAGTGTTGTTTGCCACAGGCCACCATGGCATCGGATGAAGGCAAGCTTTTCGTTGGAGGGCTGAGTTTCGATACCAACGAGCAGTCGCTGGAGCAGGTCTTCTCTAAATATGGCCAGATCTCTGAAGGTGAGGTGGGTGGGCTGCTAGCTGCTGGGGCTGCCTGTGGGGACGGTGGGCGCTGACTGCGGGCCTCTCCCTGTACAGTGGTGGTGGTGAAGGACAGGGAAACGCAGCGATCTCGGGGGTTTGGGTTCGTCACCTTCGAAAACATTGACGATGCCAAGGACGCCATGATGGCTATGAATGGGAAGGTGAGATCCTGCTGTGGGGGTGCCGAGGGTGAGCCCCACCTCCCAAGCATAGCAAGGTGCAGAGGCTGACCCATTCAATGTCTCATCCTAGTCAGTGGATGGGCGACAGATCCGTGTCGACCAGGCGGGCAAGTCTTCTGACAGCCGATCCCGTGGGTACCGAGGTGGCTCTGCCGGAGGCCGGGGTTTCTTCCGAGGGGGCCGTGGCCGGGGCCGTGGGTTCTCCAGAGGTGAGTGCCTGAGTCTTGGGGGTGCATTAGGTGCTGCCGGTGGGGCTGGCACTCACTCCTCTGTCCCCTCTATTCTCTGCAGGGGGAGGGGACCGTGGCTATGGGGGTGGCCGCTTTGAGTCCCGCAGTGGAGGCTATGGCGGCTCCAGAGACTATTACAGCAGGTGAGGATGTGGAGCCCTTGGGGCTGAAGGAGACATGGCCTCTGCACAGAGTCCAGGGTGGGCTCCCAGCTCCGGTGATGAAAGCTGAGGGGAGGTGAAAGGGTTCCCTTTCTGGTGCAGGGGATTCAGCTCAGTGCTTTGAGTGTGCCACATAAGCACTGAGCTACATCTCTAGCCAGCCCGAAGGTGGCAGGGCTTTTTGTTTTGGGGGTTTGTGGTGGTGGTGGTGGTGGTATACTGTACTAGGGATGGAACCTAGGGCTTTCATACACTGAGAGCCACATCATTTTCATTTTTTTATTTTACTTTAATTTATTTATTTTTGGGGCTTGAACTTGGGACCTTATGCTTTCGAGGCAGGTGGCAGAACCACTGAGCTAAATTCTCAGCCTCTTCATTTCTTCATTTTTTAAGACAGGATCTTGCTGAATCCCTAAGTTTCCCAGGCTGGGCTTGAATTCTTTTTTTTTTTTTTTGGTACTAGGGATCAAACTCTGGTCCTTGCACCTGCACAGCAGGTGGCAAAACCACTGAGCTAAATCCCCGGCCCATCTTTTCTGGTTTTTTGAGACAGCATCTAACAGTATAGTTCACTCTGGCTTTTGAACTCACTGTGTAGCCCAGGCTGGCCTTGAACTTGGCACTGATACTCCTGCCTCAGCCTCTCACATGGGGATGACAGGGACGCACCCCTGTGCTCGGCCTGCTGGCAGTTTCCCCATCGTCTACGAGTTAGCCCTGTTGCTGTTCCTGTCCTGTGAAGCAGGTGTGGGACTGGGGCTCAGCTCATCAGGTGCCATCCAACACCCACATCTATCCCCCCTCCTGTAGCCGGAGTCAGGGTGGCAGCTACGGTGACCGGAGCTCGGGAGGGTCCTACAGAGACAGCTACGACAGCTACGGTAAGTGCTGCTCCAAGGGAGCTCAGCGAACCCTTTTTGCCCTCCCTCGGAGAGCGGCCTAGGCTGGACACTCAGACCTTGTCACGGTGCTTGCCCACAAGAAACAAGTCTGCCCTCAGAGCCATTCTGCCACAGAACAGAGCTGAGTCAGAGTGACGAAGTCAGGGCTGCGCAGGCCGCAGATGCCTGCCTGCGCCGAGGGTGGGGGGGGTGGCTCCGACCCTGCCGCCCGCCTTCGGGCTGCGCTGGGCGTGGATGCTGCATCCTGTCTTGTGCTTCAGCGCCTTTACACTCTGCCTGCTTCTTGTCCTCAGCTACACACAACGAGTAACAATCCTTCCTGCTCAAGACCGTCCTTCCATGGCTGTATATTTAAAGATTTTGGGAGCTGCGCTGAATCGTTGATGTGTAGTGAACACACCTCCTTGTATTCCCACTTTTGTAGTCATTTCTGTTCTGATCTTGTTAACCCTGCCTGACTGCCTCTGACCCCCGAGATGGCCTCGTTAATAGACTTTGCTTTTTAAGGAGGCGCTGTCTGTTTCCAAGGGTTTTGAAACCGTTTTGAAAAGTACTTCAGAGTTTACTCATTTTTTTTTTTTAAACGATGAACCATAGCTTTTTAAAAAACAATTATTGGGGGTTGTGTGATTTTTTTTTTTTTTTTTTTCCTTCTGTGGTGCTGGGGATCCAACCCAGGGCCTTGCACACGTTAGGCCGCCGCTCTGCCCCTGAGCTGTACCCCAGCCCTGTTGTGTGGATTTTTGGTTTTGGTTGTGTTTTCATTGTTTCTTTTTGGGGGATCACCCATGAAGTTGGGTGTCTTGATTCATTTCGCTAAGATTGAATGGACTCTGAATTCGCTCTGCCAGAAGCTAAGCAAGCTGTGGCTTTTTCGGACTCAGTGTGCCGTTTGAGGGTAGCCTGGTAGGACACTGGCCGGGGCGCGGAGAGGCGGCCCCGAGCCAGTGCCCGCCGTGCAGTGCACGCCTGTGGGAGCCGTGCAGATGCCCCGAGGTTTTCGAATTTATTTATATTGTCCTTTTTTACTGGAAGACGTATGCATCCTCCATCGATGTTGTATTTGCAGTGGCTAAGGAACTCTTGTACTCAGTTTTCTTTGGCTTTACGAAGCCGATTAAAAGACGTGTGAAACGAACCTTGCTCTGACAATTTCCCTTCGTTGCACAACACACTCTGTGCTGCAGGCTCTCCAGGCAGACCTGAGCCAGCACCGAGCACGGAGGCCCGCAGGGCGCTAGAGGAGGAGGAAAGCCAGGCAGGCGCAGGGCTGGGTCAGGCCTGTGAGCTGCTCACGGCCCCCTCCTGTTGGGGGAGGCGGCTGGGGGGGGCGAGGGCAGCCCCTGGAGGCTTCCGGTGCAGGCAGCAGGAGGGCTCGACGGGGCGGGGAGCTTAGCAGGGTCAGCGGACGCCCGGGCACCTGGCGCTGACCAGAGAGCCTTAGCCGAGCAGCAGGGCAGAGAGGGACGGCATGGCGCCACGGGCGACCCGGTCGGGGCTGGTAGCTAGATCTGCTGTGCTTCACGAGTTCTGAGCGTTCTCTGCTAGCCTATGAAGCCGCAGCCCTCGGAGGACAGACGTGTTGTGCGCCCAACAGAAACCTCTGAGATGCACGCTGCTCCCTTGGCTAGCGCCCCTGTGCCGCTGGCCCTGTAACTCGAGGTAACGCCTTCCGCTCGTGTCCGCATCCCTCCTTGTCCAGAGCTCTTTTGAAAGTACCGTTAACTACCCGGGGAATGTTCCTTTGACTGCTTTTTGGTTTTCCTTTTTTATTTCTACGTATTTTTGTAATGAAGCTAGAACTAAAGTCAGGCTTGGCTGAGGGCCCCTCCTGCCTGCGGCCCGGCCCCGGCCTCCACGGTAGGCCCGATCCGCTCGCAGGACAGGGACCACACAGCGAGGCCTGTAGGGTTTTTGCTGTCGCGGGCCGCCTTTCCCGACTCCGGCTGCAGCATTCCGGTGTCTCTGCACGCCAGGCCCAGTCCCACGCGGGCGGCCGGGACCAGCTGGGCCGCTAGGAGCTGTGAACGGTTCCTGGGCGGGGAGGGGCGCACGGCCCGAGGGACTCAGGGTGACGCGGCTTTGCTTTGCAGGGTGACGGAGGAGACCCGGGCATGACGCGGGGAAGGGCGGCCCTAGAGCGATGATGATCGCAGAGGTGTCGCCAGAGGACTGCGCGGGCAGGAGCCAGAGGTCTCGCCCAGGTGTCCTGTAAGTGCTGGGGGGAGGGGAAAGGGGGGGGGCGCCGGGCGCTCCTGTGCCTGGTCCCCTGCTCACTGCCGCCCCCTTGCAGGACCCATTTCCCCGGCCCGGAGTCGGCGCGAAGGAGGATCCGCGGAATGGGCGGCTTGGACGGCCAGAGGGGGAACCGAGGAGAGGCGACTGCGAGGATGGGGACAGTGGGATCTGAATAAAGGCCCGTGTGACCAAAGCCCAGTGTCTGCTGTGGGTGCGGGGGTGGGGCTGGAAGGGCGACACCTCAGCCATCTGCGGCCACCCTAACCCTGCCTTCGTCGGCTGGGGCCTGGGAGGTTGGCAGCGGACGTAGGTGAGCGTGGAACCGGGTTCCCTTGGAGCAACCAGAGGAGGCCCCCGCCTGCGCACGCAAGGAACTGGCTCCGAGCCTAGTGACTGCGTAGGGGCGGTGCCGGGAGCACTTCCGGCCTCCAACTCACGCCTCTCACTAGCTATTGGCTGGCACCGTCCCCGCGAATCTGACTGGCAGCTACGTACAGGGGCGGGGTGTGGCCATCGCTTCCGCCAGGCCATGGGGCCGCGCGTGCTGCTGCTGCTGTCGCTGCCGCTCCTGCTGGTGCAGCTATCTGTGCTGCTCTGCGGGGCCGAAAACACTGCACCTTCGTCGCCGCACCCTGCGCAGGCGGCGCCTTCGCTGCGGCCCGCGCCAGCTAATGGGAGCCAGTCGGGAGCGCCGCAAAACAGCACGCACGGTTGGCCGGCAGGCGCGCCCAACACACCGCTGGTACGCTCCTTCTACGTGCTCACCGGCCTCGCTGGCTTGACGCTTATCTACTTCCTCATCCGGGCGTTCAGGTGCGTCAATTTACGCGGCCAACGCTCCGCCGCAGCCAATCGGCGCGCGCTTCGTGTGTCATGTGCCACTCAGCTGGGATGGGAGGGGCAAGTGACGTCAGAGCTTGGGGTGGGAGGTTACGTGAGTCGACGTTCCGCCCCTAAGCGCCCCGTGGGGTCCAGCGGCCTAGTTTTCTCGCTGCAGCTTCCCAGGTCCGAATGCTCCACCCTCTTCCCCAAGTGAAACACCTGAGGCGCGGGCGCGGTGTCGGTGTCGACCCGGCCACATTCCCTGGAGTTTCCTCCCGCCCGTCATCCCCACGCTCGCCCTTAGGTCACCTGGTGTGCCCTCTCTCATTCCGGCCGGGCCCATCTGGCTGGCCCTGTCTGTGGCCCAGACTTCCTATGGGTCCCTAGCCTTCTTCTTTGGCTTTTCTCTGGGCTGACCTCGGAAGGGTCCTCCTCAGGCCGAGGACTGCGTCCCTCCTGGTCACTATTGGGCAAAGTCCAGCTGTCCTCGGTGGCTGATGAATTCCCAAGCACCTCCCTGGCCGCGGCCTGGATCGCCTGCCAGACGCCCTTTCCTCCTTGCTTGCCTCTGCGGCACCGAGGGCAGGTAGAGGCTTGGGTCTGAGATGCCCGCATTCACTCAGTGACTTGGGCAAATGACTCTGTTCTGTGACTCGGCCTCCAGCAGCAAAGCGGGAGCGAGATCTGCATCTCCCTCTTGGGGTCCAGGCACTGGGAGAGGTGTCCATTGCTGTCACCATGGGGAGAATAATTAGTAATCCTCGTGGCAGTGAGAATGGGAAGGACTCAGATGCAGTTAGGCGGGAGGGTGGGAATCCCGTGGGATAGAGGGAAGGGTCTGGACCAAGAGCACCCCAACAGCTGCTGAGCGGGTCTGGACCTCCTTCAGGTTGAAAAAGCCACAGCGAAGGAAGTACGGGCTCCTGGCCAACACTGAGGACCCCAGCGACATGGCCTCCCTGGACAGTGACGAGGAGACTGTATTCGAGTCGAGGAACCTGAAGTGGTAGGGCAGCTCTGCTGGCCTCCAGGGCCTTGAGTGAGGGGCTGGTTGGGTGGCTGGAGTCAGTGACACAGCAGGAGCCAGAGGCTTGATCAGCCTGTGGGGCCCCTGACCCATCACAAGCATCTATGCTCAGGTCACTACCGCCCAGGGCAAGGCTTAGAATCATCCTTAAGATGCCCCAAAGTACTAAGCATGGTGGCGCACACCTGTCATCCCAGCACTCTGGGAGGCTGAGGCAGGAGGATTTCGAGTTTGAGCCCAACCTGGACAACTTAGATCACAAAACACAAATTTTTAGGGGGCGAGAATTTAGCTCAGTGGTTCCGCCCCCTGCCTCACAAGCGGAAGGTCTCGAGTTCAATCCCCAGTACCAAAAAAAGAGCACACAGACAAAACACAAATTTTTTTTTAAGGGCTGGTAATGTAGCCTCATATGAAGACCACCAGTTCCAGTGGTGGAAAATACAGATAATAAATAAGGTGCTCTAGACCCCACCCTGATGGATAACAGAAGTGCCCAGGGGGAGAGTTGGGTCAGGGAAGGCCTGTTGGGTGGCAGGTATCAGCAACAGCACTTGAAGATTCGAGGGTTCCAGGCAGAAGTATCAGCAGGGGTGGAGGCCCTGAGGCTGGCCTGAAGCAGGGCTGGATGGAGACATGAGGGGACCCGCCTGGCTGCCCTCAGGACCCTTGCCTGCTAGGGGTTGGCAGGCACAGAGAACAGGGCACACTTTTCTAAGCCCCCGCAGGAGGCAGATTCTAGGCTAGGGACCCCCCCCCCGCTTGGTGGCTGTTGTGGGTGGGTGTCCTACCCTCCCCTCCTCTCATCCTGTCCCCTTCACCTTCCAGATGCTGCTGTAAGTCAGGCACATTCCAAGAGGCCACAGGGAAGGACAAGATGGCCGCTGCATTCTGCTGGCTTTGGTGTTCACCCTCCAGCTGCCACCCAGAGCACCTGTCACACCCGGACCCCAGCTCCTGACCATGTGGCCTTGACTCCCTGCCCACTGCCACTGCCTGGCCAAGGGAGCCATGTGGAAGCCAGAGGCACCCCAGCAGCTGGCGCCCAGGACTCTGAGGCCCCCAGACAGACTATGACCCATGCCACTCCCTTCCCCTTGGGATCTGGCAGCCCTGCACCGAGGCCTGCTGGGCAGGTGGACTGAGGGGTCTGTCAGGAAGTCCCTTCCTGTGGGGCTGTTGACAATAAAAGAAGCCGTGGCTCTGCACCAGGGGCCAGCCCCACCTTGACTCCACACCGGGCCACCTGGCTGGGCAGGTGAGGTGGGCTGGAGTGTCATTAGAGACTAAGCTGGGCTGCTGTCACCTTGCCCCAGCTGTCTAGAGGATCGGGTGAGGAATCTCAAGTGGTAAACAGAGGCAAGGGGAACATATCTCCAGCTGCCTAGAACAAGGCCTTCCCTGTTATTTCAGTTTCTAGAAAGAAGCCCTATTCATTCCCTCAGATGGGGGTCCCTCTGGTGTGCCACCTTCAACCTGGTGCTCAAGAGCGACTCTGAGGAGTCCAAGTTTCAGGTCACCTGTACCTTTGAGGAGAGGGAGTTCCAGAGGAGCCGGGGCAGTGGTGTGAGGGAGGGAGTCATCAGCCTGAGTCTGGGCCAGTGACCCCTTTGGCTCCCCTGTGAGCTGCTGGGCAGCGCCCGGGTCTGGCCTGTCCTCACGTCTTCCCTCTGTCGTTTGGCCTCAGTAGATGAGGAGAGGCTGAGCCACCGCCAGAGGGCTCCCAGACCCTGAGAGCTCACAGAGCCACCTCGAAAGCCGCCTCTGCTGTGTAGTGCGGAGGCGTGGCCACCAGGTGGCAATCGCGCCACCTCGGCCTTTGACTCCCAGAGCCAAACTCCAACCTGGGTCCTGGGTCCGGGCGGCCCGGTTTTTCGAGCACCCCACATCCTCACTTGGGCTCCCCGGGTTCGTCCGCCTCCAAGCTTCCCCTTCCCACCCGGGACTGCCTTCAGGAAGCACTCCCGGACTGCGCTCCGCCGGTCCTGAGTGGAGCATGGGATCCTGCCAGGAGGCTGGGGTGGGCACCCCGGCCCCCGTTGGCTCCTGTCCATCTGCCCCCCACTCCCTGTTCATGTCTCTCCATGTCAGACCCGCTCTTAACAGTTTTGAAGGTACTGTCCCTGGCCCCCAACCTGTGATCTGCGCCCCCTTCCCACATCCTGAGCCATCCTCAACTTCAAAAGGCGCATTAATTACTCTATTGGGGGAGGTCCGAGAGACCTGCTGCCGCCACAGTCCGGAGGAGGCAGGAGGGTGGGTCCCGAGCTGCTTCCATCCTGCTCCCGTCACAGCCAGCCCTGCTGTGAATGCGAGATGGCTTTGGTGTGTGCGTGTGTGCACGCACGTGTGTACATGACTGGGTTGCACTGGCACTAAAGGGCCCCCAGTGCAGCCCATGCCTGCCACACTCCAGGACACCACACACTGTAGGTGCCGGACAGCAGCATAAGCGGTCACACATGGTGCCACCTTTGAGGCTCTCAGACCCTGCTCTCCTTGCCCAGTGCCCCACAAGGTGCCCCCAGCCGGCTCCTGCTCTGCTCTCAGGCCTAGGTCTGGGTCCCGTTTGTAGCTCCCACCCCAACCCCAGTGTCCTGTGTGGGACCTGGAGGCAGTGGCAGTGGTGAGGTGGCCTTGCAGGCCCACAGCCAAGGACATCTTCCTGTGGATGGGGTTGGCGGGTCTCTGCCACACCTGGCACTGGCTCTCCCACAGACTCAGCCCCACCTGCACCGAAATCCCTTAGGGGACTGTGGGCCAGGAGTGCAGGTCACAGGTCCCCTGTCAACTGTGAGTGGCCTGGGTGCCCTGCTCCAGGTGCAGTTGCCAGTGTCTGTGTCCCTGACAAGCATGACTTCAGAAGCACTGCCACCATGGCTCTGAAAAGCAACTTAAACTGGGTGGGCCTGTGACATTTCCTCAACCCAGCCAGAGCAGGACTGTGGGCATCAGCGACGGAGCCAAGCGTCATCTGCTCCAACTCCTGAAGTGATGGCCCTGCCGCAGGCCCAGTGGCTGCTGTGGGAAGGCGACCTGTGTCCAGGCCTGGAGCTGGGGCAGACAGGAGAAGGGGAGAGGTGGAGGGAGGAAGATGGGGAGAAGGGAAAGGGAGGAGGAGGAGGAGAGTGGGAGGCGAGGTCTCATTGGGAGGCTGAAGCAGCAGGGACAAAGTGCCTGGGGGTCCTGTGCTGGTCTTGGGTGCAGGTGTCTAAGGAGCCACACCGCCAAGGTCAGGCCCTGCCAGGGGGACAAGGATGGCATCCTCCTAGCTGGGGAAAGGGACACCTTTCATTTCCTAAATCGGGCATTTGGACCCCGACCCCTCTGAGCAGACCCAGTGTGCACCATGTGCCTGTCCCTGCCACACAGGTAGGGACAGCCCAAGGGGCCCTGACTGCCTCATCTTGCAGCTGCACTGGGCTCCCGAAAGCACCCCCACCAAAGCAGGCGGTGGATTCGATCCAATTTATTCTGTAATGAGAAATTTCTCCCCGAATATTTTTAGCCTTCTTCTCGGTGTTGTGGCCTTTGAAGGCTGAGGGGCTGCTTGACGCGAGCTGGCCCTGCTGCCTGAGCCTGGGCCTGGGCCTGGGGCTGAGCAGGTGAGCAGTGGCTGGTAAGGAACAGGGCTGGAGGCTGGGGACTGGGAGGAGCCTCCAGAGTGTGGGGCCACTGACAGCTCAAGGGCACAGACCTGGTCAGATGGGGGCAGGGGCGACTCCATCAAAGGCCCCAACCTGGGCCTGGCCCAGGGGCCACAGATCCAGGACCCTGGGTAACCCTTGTCCCCACAGTCAGCCTGACCTCTGAACTTTGACTTCGGGGAAGCCTCCCCAGTTGACCCCTCACCCTAGATGACCCCTAACTCTGGAGTCTGGGGCAGCGCTCACCAGGGAGGGCACAGGCCCTGGGGTCCCTAGAGCCTCCAGCCCTGCCCTCCCCTTGCTGCCTGGCCAGTCCTCCAGAGCAGCCGTCGGGCATGGGGCGGTGGAATGGGGGACGCGCCGCCTTTGTTCCTGTCCCCGCTCGGGCTCTGACCTTGAGAGAGAGACAAGAACAGAGGGAGAGCGGAGCTTCTGCTTGAATCCGTGTGGCGGCGGCGGCAGCAGTGGCGGCAGCAGCTCTCGCCTTGGTGGCCCCTGCATGCAAATGAGCCGACCATGGGCCTTGGCGTGGGGTCCCCTCATCCTGCACCCTCACAGCCCTGGCCAACTAGGAGTGAGCAATGAGACCCCCACCAGCCCCACCCAGGGTCCCACAGTCCCTGGGATGCCACCTGGGCCGGCAGCATGCCCCTGTACCTAGGTCCTGCTCTGGGATTGGCCACCTCTGGGAGCTGTGCCAGCTCCCGCTCCAGGCTCTTTACCTGGACAGGTGTCCTGCAGATCTCGGCCCACTCTGCCTTGGTGGGGGCCCTTGCCACATGACTGTAGGCCAGCCTCAGCCACCCCCAGGGGAGCAGGTCCCACCTTCCTCCAGGAGCGCCCCCAGGTCAACACTGGGCCTGCAAACTGGGTGTTTGGCTGGGCATGGTGTCACATGCGTGTAATTCTAGCACTCAGGAGGCTGAGGCAGGAAGACTTCCATGAGTTCGAGACCAGCCTGGACTACATAGTGAGACCCTGTTTCATAAAAAAGGGGGTGTCTGGGCTGGGGATTTAGCTCAGTGGTTTCGCCGCCTGCTGCGCAAGTGCAAGGACCCGAGATCGATCCCTGGTACCAAAAAAAAAGGGAGTGTCTGCAATTAGGTGAAGTCAGGGATGTGGCCCAGGAAAGACAGGCTGAGGCCCCCGCAGGACAGAGGGCAGGCATGCTCACTCAGGCTGGTGGGGAAGCAGGCCTCAAAGAACAAGGTGGGTTTCAACAGGAAGCAAAGAGGAAGGACTTCCACGCTAAGACAAGGCCCTTGATGGTGTGGCTGCAGGGAAGCCAGGAGGAGGGAGCTCTGGGGACATGGTCCTTCATCATGCCCCTTTGCTGGGACAGGTCAGTTGGTCCCTGTAAGGAGTCCATCCTTCCAAAGCCCCTGGCTCCCAGGTTGGGGTCCCCACAGCACTGGCGAATGAATGACCGAGCCATGCTGGACACCACTTTCCAGCTGGGCCTTGGTGACACTCTACCCTCCACAAGCTCGGATCTGTGAGGGAGCTGATGGTGTGAATAAGGGCAGAAATAGAAGACAGACAAGCTCCTGGGACAGCTCCCTGTGCAGACCAGACCCTGGGCCCCACCTGAGCTGTGCCCTGTGCTGGGAACACGGTGTTCTGTCCCTTCCTGCCTACAGGATCCCTGTATTGGTATGGATTTGCCACCCGGCTTTCTGCATCAGCCTGAGCTCAGACTCACTGGGTATCAGGCCCCCTACTATGCGCCTGAGCACAGCCAGAGGGGATGGAGCTCAGAGGGGAGGCACCGGCACTGGAGGGCGTGGCTTCGGGGCTGCAGGACTCCAGGGCTCTGCGCGAGGCTGCACTGGCCACTGCCCGGGCTGATTCAGGACTTTTGTGTCCCCAGGGTGTTTGGATGGGGCTGCGGGAGGGCGAGTGGTGCCCCTCCTGCCGGGCACAGGGCGCGGCTCAGCAGAGACCCCGAGCCCCTCCCAGCGGCGCAGCGAGAGTGGACCCCGACCCCTATTCCGCCCTGGGCCTTCGCAGAGCAGGGTCGCCGGGGCGAGGCCCTGGAGACCCCTCAGCCCGTCGCGGGCCGGTGCGCGCGGGCCTGGCCGGGGCGGGGTGCGGCGGAGGTTGCAGCCCCCCCGCCTCCCTCGCCCACCCCGCGCGTCGGTCGGGGCGCAGCGGGAGGGGGCGCCCGCGGCCCGGGCTGAGCTCGGGCGGCACAAAGGGCCGGAGGCTGAGGCCG